ACCGGGCTGTCTCCCTTAGCGGGCCAGCCCGGCTTCCATATAAACAGGACCTAAGTACCAGTCAATATAAGTCCCCGCTTGCTTGAATCTAGGAAGTGTGGGGTTCATAGGGCAAAGCAGGGCCACTGAGACAAAGCCAGACATTTATACAATCCAGCAATTTTGATTTTTGATTATGCAGTGCTGGGAAATAAAAACTGCCTACTTCTGGGTTGGGGGAGGTGGTAATTTACATTGACTGGTATTGTACACTGAATAGTTATGGGGTGCCATGGCTGCCAGTTCTGTTGTCTTTAAAACGACTGCTAATTCTAAACTGCAGTGATTCAATTAAAACATTGTCCAAACTACATGTTCTGGAGATTATGAGTAATATTTTAACTTTGGCACACACTCATATTTTGGAACAACTCCAAGGACGCTGACTATAAATGTATCAAGATCTGCAAATATAAAATATAAATCTTACCTGCGATTTGCCTGCCTGCGAAAAGATTAATCACTTGAAACGTTTTCCGTGGTTGTGGACCTTCGTTCCACATCGAATGCATCCTGCCCAACATCAGCGATTGCCCAGTTTGTGAAGCAACAACGTTGGCAAATGTTGAAGCTCTTGGAAGGTCTTCGAAAGACAGCAAATATTAACGCTGATTGCCCCGGCGACTTGCTTTGAAAAGGACGAAAGCGACCAAGAAAGTGAGGCAGCCGATGACGATTGACGACGAACCAGAAGACGAACAGAACGAAACCCTCGTGAACAGTTTGTTAGCAAAAATATTAAGCCCTTCGCGAAGGTCTGTCAAACAATCGCCATTTTGCCAACCGGATATGTACTAAGTACAGTAATGAGTAAAGTGATATTGTACCTGTCAGTCGTGGATCGTTGTGACGCATTTGAGACCGATGCGAAATGAGATCAGATAGGTAATATTTAAAAACATGTCACCTGTGGTGTGGGGAAAATAAGTTTAAACTGCCAAATCTACCAATTTTTTATGTGTGTGTAAAGATAGTGCAAGTGAGAGTCTGCTATTTTACGCGCGTCGAAACACTGTTATTCAAACATAAATATTTCGCGTTCTAGATCGAATTTAAAAAATACCCCCGAGGAAATTAAAGAAGAAAGCATGCTTTATCAGAATTTGTCAGTTTTGGCGAAAAAAAATTAATATCGAATGCCACCGAGGGCGTAGAACAAGGTGTTATTTTCTCACTCCTTTTGTTTACATGTTTCGAATTTCAGGCATTCTGATTGGTCAAGAACGCAAAATGTAAACAAACGCGCTGATTGGCTAACATTATTTGCCCTTGTTTCTTTTGTCGGGTAAGTGTCAATATTGTTTTTGTATCAGTTGTCTTAATGGGTCCCGTCACTTACACACGTGTAAACAAACCCTGTGTGTGCCAGCGACGTTTAAATGAAAAAATATGTTTTCTCACTTCTCTGATGTCCATTATTTGTCGCCAATATTTAAAACAGATGTCTAATCTACAACTTTGACCGTTCGCCCCCCGTCGCCCCCAATGCCATTCACAAAATATTACGCTTTTAATATGGATGATCATATCCTCGTACACCACTATGGCTACGCTATGAATCATCTAGATACTTCGTATCCTTGTAGTTATATGATTGTTAAGCTTCATTATTAATATTAAACGCAAAATATCCACATATTTTAAGTTTTGTTTTGAGCTATAAAAGATCCTAATTGATATTATAATACATGTTTTAGGCAAACAAACATTGTGTTTAATGTACCTATCAATGTTAATATATAATAAAAACCTGCAATAATGAAGCATGAACCCTTCTTTGCCTGTAAAATATATTGTACATTTATAACTATAAAATATTAAAACTGTAATGTTGTGAGTCTTATGTATACTTCTCAACTTTCTTCCATAGTTCAACACCACCTAGTTATATTTTAACAAAGTATAAATGTCTGAAAGCACCAAGAGATATCACAGTCCTCCAACTGGTGCTACACCTGGAAAGAAACCACCAAAAAGGCACATGCAAGAAAATGTAAAAAAGACATCAAGGAAATCTTTGTTTCAAACTGGGACTGTAATTAAAAAAAAGGTAGAATCTGCAGTTTCTGTATAATTTTCCTGTTTGTGGGATAGTCAGCTAGCCCACATGATATGTCCAGTAGGCTTAATACAATATTAAAATATAGAAATATTGTAATCCATTTGGTCATATTTTGTATGCTATATGATAACAATTCCCATGAATTGTTTTAATTGCTACAGTTGGTTGAAAATTTTATATATATTTTTTCAAATTGACACAGAATGATTGGAGTTATGATGAAATTTCATCTTTGGTGGAATATGTGGCACTTTATCATGCACCAGATGAAGCTTCTAGTACTGTGTGGCCGACACACAAGAATGAGCAGTTTTGGAACAAGTGTGCTGAAGCAGTTAACTGTTCCAATCAAGAAACGAATTGGACTGGTAGGTGCACATGTACTTGAATATTGTTTGTAAAAAATCATCATTAAGCCGCAAAGCTCCCCATTGACAAGTTAAATTGTCTGGTGTTAGACAAGTTTAAAAAAATAAGTAAGGTGCACTGGGGTGCATTGTGGCTTAATGGGTTAATTAACATATACAAATGTGATTAGTGAGTACATTACTGAGGCCCTGTTAGGGTTTTAGGATTACGGATTATTTGGCATTTTTGGGCAGGATTACGGATTATTGCCGGTCAAAAAAAAGGATTATGGATTATTTGGATAGGATTTTAGGATTAAGGATTATTGATATGCAAAGATCATTAATGATCATTAATCATTTTTTGCCATTGAAAATAAAAATAAGAGGTAAAATTTGCAGTTCGGTCAGTTTGTAAGATATTTGAGATGGGACACACGCGAACTTCGCGCAAACATAGTCAAATGCATGAATGAATCACTCGAGTGTCACTTGATCTCGCGTGGATACAAAATGGCGTCGACCACAACAAACATCACAGCCATGCTGAATCCTCTTCTTCTCAATATAACCGGAGCTATTTATAAGCTCGGTGAAGATCGGCCAATTTCGAGATGGTCTTTCATTGTTGCTGGACAATCGCTGGAAAACACTCCCATCTCCAGTATTAAACAAAATATACGAAAAAATCACGGTATCGAAGACAGGGTTAAGGAGCTTGGAATAAAAGATTTTCGAATTAAACTGCAGCACAGAAAGTTAACTCCAGACCCGGAATTTCCCAAAGGAAGAGTGTATGCAATAGATTCTCAAGATCAGTGGATGGTGGCGTTTCCTTTGTTGTGCAGAAAAGAATGTGAACTGATAGGTATAAAGATAATCTCCTGTATTATGCATGTGTATATTATATATGTCATTATGTGTAATGATAGTTTTGTGTCGGGCCCGCAGTAATGGTCAGTAATTGACTATTCGCTGTTGCGGTCACCCAGCCGTGGTCATGTACTGTATTTCATTATGTACATTTGTTTTTGCCCTGTTATGGAATGTATTGTTCCATAGGCAAAGTTTATAAATTAAATTAAATTAATCAAGATTTTATTGTAAAAATCCTATGAAAAGTCAGAGACTTTTTTAAATTAGTGTTAATAGTCTTTAATAAAGTCAATAGAGTCATATTGGGCCATTCCATTTAATGCCCCCCCCCTGTGGCATTTGACTAGTGACACTAGTATCCCAAAGGTTGCAGGTTCGATTCCCCCCGTGGCCAAGCAAACTTTTCAGCTTGCCCAGTGTGGATAGTCTGGATATACAGTCAGAGTAACATCAAAAACATTATCACTACTATGGATCACTATGTTATGTACGATTATATATTAAATTAATTGGAGCACTTCCCACTTCCATTTTCCTGGTGGGAATGTGGGGGCTATGGTGTCTATGATGTATCAAATGGGGGAATTATTTATCAGTTTTGATAAAATGAAGTTCTGAGTTTTTTGTATCAAGTATTCTCAAGTGTGTGTATAGATCACTTGTGACACTTGTTTAAATTTTGCGGCTGGGCCATTTTGGATGATTATACAAAGGAATGTGATCTTTGTGTATGCAAAAAATAATTTAAAACCAATAAAATAAATTAAATGACCTGAAATAATAATCATTGTATATTTGTATCAATAGTCAGGCTAGTCATTATGTTAGTTACTCAGAAAACAAATATCATTATTTCAATTTACAATATCTTTTTTTGCAGTTAAAATAGTGGAAGTACAGATCATGTCCCTAAAGCATAAGCTAATGCCACAGATATCACCCGAAACCAAGAATACCAGTGAAACCAGCTCCATTTGTGTGACTGCTGATGACATTGTCGACAGTGTGACTCCTGACACTCCTCAATTGCAGACTTGCAATGCAAAGAAGAAAAGAAAGAGAGGAAGACCATCAGTGAAACAAGGAGAAAATAAAGAAAGAAGTTTTAAAAAATTCCAAGCAAGTAAGATCATTGTTTTCTACTGTATCATTACGATAATGGTCGATAATATCTATAATTTTGTTGTGATGCCATATTATGATAATATCATAATATTTTGTCCTACAAGGGCTTCTTACTTGTGACAGTTGTGGTACTGAATCTTTTGTGTTCTCTATGATAAATCCATTGTAGATTATCCTGATTTACTGTAAATAGTTACATGTTAATGAGTGTTTCCGCACATGTCTAGAGATTGCAAGCAAGTACCCATCCTGCTCAGTTAAATCAGACACAGTAATAACCTGTGAGTGTGGAAAAGATGTGAAACTTAATAAGAGCAATTGTTTGAGCAATTACACCCACCGTAAGTCATCATTTTGTATTCTTCTATTTGTATTGTAACTTATAATAATGACTTACTCATGTCTGTTATTAATGAATATAAAATACAAATGCCACAAACAGAATTCCTGTTTGGAATGCTCGACATAGTTATTCAATTATCTTGCTTTCTTATATAGATCATCTAAAGATTTGTTCTTTAAGACAATCACCACAAGAAGACCAGAGAAAACTAGAAGCGTTTTTAAAACCTTGCAAGTCTTCAGAAACATCAGCCTTACCAAATGTTCCAATTGTTGAAGAACTGGGTGATGACAATACTTCAAATTGTGATGTCGATAGTGTGTGTAGTGGAGGTTTAGATTACGACGAAAATCTTGAGTAAGATACTATATGTTTAGAGAATATAATCGTTGAGTTTTACTTTGAAGTCTTCGAACTTACTGTACAGACATTATTTAGCTCGCTATTGTAAGATCCCCAATCATTCTTCATTTATAAGCCATTTCCCAATTGAGCAGAGGACTGGGTCTAGTGTCTGTAGTTGATGTTTGGAGGGACAACAAGTTATAGTTAGCGAGCTAAATATATATTAAAAGATGCCTTATTATAATTGTTGCATTTCAGGCTGCATAAATAACTTTAGGAATGTAGGAAAACTTCCTAGATGCCATATTCGGCATATTACTTATTTTTTGTTCCTCCAAACAAGCGACTAAACCCAGGCCTCTGCTCGATTGGGAAATGGTTAATTAAGCTGCCAGACCTGTCAGAATAGTGGAAACTTATTAATATATATAAATTGACATTGTTTGTCTAGTGTCTCTAGTGACTCTAGTGTATCCAAATTTTTAGAAGTTGAGCAAAGTTTCAACATGTTGATACTAAACTAAACCAACAAGGTTTTAAGAACTTTTAAGTTCTTAAATTTAACAATTTGCAGTCACAAAAGGGTCACAAAAGGTGATAAGATATTTATCATGTTTGTACCCTATTCTACCCTCCAATTTTTCATGAAGTGTCTGCCACTGATTATGTTATTGACGACATTGACTATTGTTCGCTGACGTTTAATGGCTAAATCGTTTATACAGGATTACAGATGACGATCATATGAATAGCTATATGGATGAGGTATGGAATAATGAACTAACAGGACAGCTGTCCACTAATGACACTAATGATTATGATCCTCCTGTACTTGATAATGACAATGTTCCTCAACTCTCTGAATCTAACGAGTCCACAGCAAGCAGCGAAACAGATGAATCAAGTATGGATGAATGTGACTCAGATGGATTTTGCAAGAAAACTTTTGCTGATGACATACGTTTGGGAACCAGGTAGTATTTCACTATTGTATCGTTTTGCTCAGACGATCATCTACTATTTGATTACGTATCAGTGATCATCTGATGTGTAAATATGTACTATATTGTCACTAATTTAAATGCGATCAATTTGTCAATAAATTGATTAAGCAATTTGAAAAAGTAATGATATAAAGTTAATATAGACAATATCATTTTACTCTTCTGTTTGTTCTTTTATAGACGTATCCAGTATATGGATCCCGTTTGTGAGAATCTACAGACGCTCCTAGACTCTGGAGAACTACGAAAGGATAGCATATTCTACATTTACCTTAGTAACGCATTGGCCTTTGTTAGAAACATTTCAAATCCAGAAGAACAATTTCAGTGGGATGATGAAGTGCTAGAATTTGTAGAAACGCTAGAGTATCACGGGCATGAAAAGATTCTGAATTTGCTGCGGGGTCCAGGCTTTCTAGGGACAGGTAAAGGAGGAAAGAAGCAGTTTGACTGGACGACTTGGAATTGGCCTCTTCCAGGAAAGACGACAAGAAGAAAGAATACGCGTGGATATACAACAGATAGTGGTTTGCACAAGCCATTGGTACAATCGTTCTTATCAATGGCAGATCAAAACGAGAGCACGATAACACCACTAATTGACACAAATACTGTGCGAATAATTCCAACTTGTATATCCCAGGATGGCATGTCTATAAAACCAGGTATGCAAGTTGACACTCGCCAAGGAAAAATCATTGGAACAACAGAGCAGATCGATATCAATTACGTGAAGCGCAATCCAAGTCCATCGGAAGAACTGAAGAAGATCTTTGTAACCGAAGCAGAGACAAGCATCGTAACAACGTTGGACAACAAGTTGACTCTCCCTGTAGGAGCAGCTTACATCCCTCGTGGGCTTGATAGTACCCAGACAAAGCAAGAATTTGAGAAAGAAGTCAAGCAACTTCAAGCGTGTCTTTCATGTTTATGTTCGAAGACAGTGATATCTGAAAATGGTGTAATAACAAATGAGACTCAGTGTGAATCAACATGTAATGAATGCCTAGATAGTGGTACCGTGTGTGATGAGTGTATGGCGTTCGGTCACAAGTTCGTAGAACCTGCATTGAGATCGTGCGATCGATGCAAAAGCTATGGCCATAAGTGCGTAAAGAGTGCCGTACTTGCTATATCAATGGATTCTGAATCGAAGAACCAAGCTGCCTTTAAGGAATTTGAAGAAAGTCAAGAAACAGACAGTGATCCGTGCCTTTCTCTACTTTCGTGCTTTCCAGATGCTGTCCACGTGGGCAAACGGATTAGCAGGAGTTTCAGCAACTGGTTTGTCATTGTCCAAGGCTACCGAATAAACCGAGTTCTGTTGCGAACACTGAGAAATGATCCTTACGTAAAAGAATACCTGAAACCTCATTTGAGCATCGCATCATGCAGAAATAGAGATCAAATGGACGTTGAATCGTTTTTGGAGATCTGTTGTCCAGAAGTACAAACTGTCATCAAAGAGCATGTCCATACAAGTATTGTAGAGACCATTGTTCCTGAAAAGTACAGATTGTACGATGGTAATAAGATTGGTGTCTTAAAACATCCAACAGGATTATGTATGGGACCTCATGGAACCATATTTGTTGCTGATGCTACAAAGGGGAAGGTGCTTTCTGCCAGGTTACATTATCCTGTCGACGTTTCCGAGGTTTGCATTTCACTGAAGCAACCCGTATCTGTTGCGTATGGTAACGGTGTTCTATACGCTACTGAAAAGATCACTGGCTTGGTCATTTGCGTCGACATCGAGGGAAACACCATTCTGAACCCATCAAGAATGACAGTCAGTCAATTGCAGAAATCTCTAAAGGAACGAAACATGTTTCACCCTAATGATCGAAAATTGAAAAAGGCGGCCCTGCAAAAGAAATTGGCAGATTGGTTGGAAAATGCAAAGTCACAGTCTCAAACCAGTTCGGATACAGAGATAATTGAAGATGTTGTTCAACAATCCAATGCCAAGTCTACCACAAACACTGTTAGCATACTGAAGTCTTCTACCAAATTTACTAATCCCGCTGCTCTCTGTTACTGGGAATCAAAATTATTTGTGTCAGATATGGCAACAGGGAAAATTTTCGTTCTGAAACTAGAGGCCAACGGCATTAACATCGAGGCATCGTTGTTACAAACATTAGAGTGTAATAGTTGCTTTCAGTTATTTGGCTTGTCTGTCACCAAAGAAGGATCAATCTTTGTTGCAGCATCCGATTCTTCTATCGGAGGAATCTTTCTGTTCAGCCGTCAAGATTGTGACAATGAAGAGCTTCTTTGGAGACGTTTGCCCTCGCAACTTCTTACCAATGGCTCGGAATTTTGCGGCGAAGCTTATGGCGTTTTAGATTTAGGAGATGACCAAGCTTGTTTTACCGACGTAGGCCACAAACAAGTTAAATTATTATCACTCACACGTAGCAACGAACAAGATGCTGTTAAGGTGAGTCATGTGACGAAAATGGCAGGAAGTGGTAATGCTGGTACAAGAGATGGGTCTAACGCAGAGTTCAGTCAACCTACTGGGATATGTGCGGAGGGAAAAAGGTTTTTGTGGCTGACACTGCTATTGGACAGTTGCGTATGGTAACAGATCCAACGGCATTACTCAAGTTTCTTGCAACTCTCAATAATTTTGCCAAAGCCTTTTCCTTGCATCTCAAAAAAGAAAAGAAAAGTGACGATCTTTCGTTAGATACTGCAATATCCAAAGTAAAGGAGATGAATGAGTTTATGCAAGAATGCGTGGCCAATATAAGAGCCCTTACCGGAATTCGGGATAAAATCCTTCAAGGACCTGAAGGTGCATTTTCTCAGCAGTGCCGTGATGACGTGAACATGCTAGTGAAAAGTCTACATCGATTACAAGCACTGATCTCCAGAATCAATCCATCTTATCTTCAGTCATTCAAACTGCCAAGTCTCTTAACTCTTGTGGTAGAGAATTTCTTTTCTGAAATGCGTGAAGGAAATGATATGCCAACAACTTTACAGTTTGCCTACAAGTTTTCTTCTTGTACACGCGAGACTGTAAAAAGATTATCTACAACAAGTTTCAAGTATTACACAAGTTCCTCTTCCTACTATAAGAGGCCTGCCGGATTCTTAAGATTCGCTGAACTGCCCAAGATGGAGCCCCCCAACCGCCACACTTTGACAAACGACCAGCTGGGTACCTTGCACAACTGGCGAGTAGAAAATGGTCAGAGTGTACGTCAAGCGACAGTTCGCAATTTCTCTACTAAAGATAAACCAGGAACTTTACCTGTTAATGTGTACATGGTGGAGGAACCAATGCCACAACCACTGGATTTATCAAGACAAACTGATCATACTGTTGCACAACTGAATGGCGCACCTCCTGTGGTAACGAATAAGCAGATTATCGCCTGTGTCAAGGCCGGGTTTCACCCAAAAGAAGCCAGACCATCTCCTTTCTATCTTGCATGCCTCGAAGAGCCACTCAAAGATACAATCCAAGTAGCTGATGCATTGTGGTTTTTGCAAGATATTTGCCATCCTTTGAATTTTGTTGAAGATTTCGAGCATCATGTTCAGACTGCAACCTCGTAACCAGGGATTCAGTGCTTGTTGCTCTTAAACGCAGAAGCCCTGGGTACGAGGTTGGTTCAGACTGGTGCTCAAATGAGTGCTATACCTCAGCACCAGTGCTGGGCACCTAGTCTGAATGACCCCCAATGCTTCGTATAATAAATAGTGGTATTACATGACAACTTCATTAAAAATTTCTTTATACTGTTTAATAGTACAGCTCTAGTTCTTCATGTTCTATTTATACTAATAAGTTAGTCAAGTGGCACTGCTAATTGTAAGTTGTATCAATTTCACAATTACTAAATATTTCACATCTGACATGGTGATTGTGTTGGTTCATAAGTAACATATAATATTTATAAAGCTTTTTAATTGTACATATCAAGCATTGTTGCCAAAAGGTATATGGCTCTGCTGTGAGAGCACACTTATTTATACATCACACATGTGAATAGTATTAACCCATTTACTGGCGGCACTCAACCACTGATAAGTAAAATCGCATTGCCAGTTAATGGGTTAAAACTAAATTAATCCACCATAATAAAAATAATGGAAGGATGTTGATTTTACCAGAATCCTTTGCGAACTGAAATCGGTTAAAATATAGGTTGAAGGGTGTTTGTTTGGTGAGCATTAGTGTACTGAGCATTTGGTACACTCAAAAAGATGTCTTCGTGCTTTTTTATGTGACATAAGCGCAAAGGATCATTGTAAAATCGATATGCCGCAATCTTTTTTATTATTTTCAATTGGTATTCTACTCTTTTTTGTCTTTTTTACACGTTTTTTCACTGGTTCATCACTGACCGTCTGCCATTTCCTCACTTCGTATCGTCCGCCAACATTTCCTCTGATAACTGGTGCAATGTCCCTCTGTGTAGCAATTGTGAGGTCATTGTAGCCGAACTGTTGGGCTGTCAGATTATCTGATCTGTAACCCCTAGCTCTCTGGTGACCAAAATAATCTTCCAGAACGTCCTGCATAAATCTTTCTGTCAGAACATACTGAAATCCCTGCTTGAGCAAAAACTTAATTGCTTCGACATGAGACAGAACAAAAATCTTCAGACCATTGTAGGTTTGTAGAGACAAAAACATTTTTGCTCTTTCATCTGCTGAATACTCACCAGGCCGTGTCAATGTGCTCATCCTCCAATCTTCTAGCTATGTTAGAAAAACATCTGTAAGCCAGGTAAAGTGCTCATCATCACAACATGTGTAAGGTTTGATAAATTCATTTCTCTTCCTGCTATGCTCATCTTTCGATCGAACATTAGTGCAATCAAAGAAAGAATTCATCATCTGGCAAAACAGAGCAGTACCAAGGACATCTTCTCTATCACTTTCCTGCAACGCAATACCACAGACTTGCTTAACACTTGGACCGCCAGCTTGACTTTCATCTTACAGTAAGGGGTGAGGATGACATGATCCAAGGTAAGCTTAGGAAGGGAGTGCAGTGCAAAATCTTTATCACTGTAAAATAAATCAGCTATGTGCTTAAACAGCAAATAGTTCCCATTGTTCCACATATAGCGGCTATGAGAACCTGATCCAGAATTGTAAAGACAATTCCTTGAGGTTTTCATCAGATGTGGAGAATCCGCAAAGAAGTACATATAGCGTGACATTGCAAAAACATTGTGAGTTTTGTACACAACATCACACTTTATTTCTTCAGCAAGGTTGATATGAAGATTGAAAAACTTTCTGTTTGGCGATGCTCCATCATTGACAGCTGCGACAACCAATAAATTAACAGCAACCTCCAGAACAGAAACGATTTTCCAAAACATTGGCATCAGCTGGTACGATGTGACATTACCAGTGAAGTAATAGCCAATGATATGCTTTAAGTCAGTACATAACCCACAAACAAGGAAGGCCAAAGCATGATAAGCAACCATATCTTCTTCTTGGATGTTAGCATAATTGATCATGGGATCACCCAGGTCAATGAACCCAATCAATTCCCCAGAATGTTTGTCAAAAACCAAATTTGACTGGATTTTCATTTCATCCATCACAACACAAATATACCTAAGAATAATAATGTGAAATAATAAATTATATATTGTTCTATATATTTGTAATATAATACCTGTGATAATATGAAACAAGATCATATAGTACCACATAATACTGCAGGGGTAGTGCAGGGGTGCCCCTCCCCTGTTAGGGAAGCTTAGTCCCCCCTCCTGTCAGGGGAAAATTCACATTTTGTCGGGGAAGAGAGTATTGTTTTGTAAGCAGTGTGTTTTAAGCTGGTGTTAAGTTGATGCTTGCATAGGAAAGGGAAAATTAAAACTAAGAAGGCATTAGGAAAAATGTTTTAGTATATTACAGTATATCTAGAAAAATATGGCATGTAGTAAAACACTGACTACCGGAACACCACCGGAACACCACCATTTTGTTTGGGGTTAGGGTTAGGGTTGGGGGTTAGGGTTGGGGTTAGGGTTAGGTGGTGTTCCGGTGATGTTCCGGTGGTGTTCCGGTAGTCAGTGTTTTACTACATGCCGAAAAATATTATGTCCGGAAAAATTTTGGCCGCTTAATTTTTCGAAATTGTCATGTCCGGAAAAGCTTTTTGGGATGGCCTTTCCCCCGTTTGCCAACAATTTTGAAAAAAATATTAATTAGCGTCACCACTGTAATAGTCCAGGGTCTGAAATTTGTAGTATCCTGATATCCAGGGGTAAATGATAAATTGTTGTTATTGTAACAGTGAGAGTTATGGAAACTTATTTGGATGGGACAGGGTATAATACCTGTGGTAATCAGTATCCAGAAATGGGATACTGGATTAAAGGGGGGGGGGGGAATACAAAACTTTGAATCCTGGTATCCCAGTTGGATACTGAGATAAAATTTAAATTTCAGACCCTGGTAATACTGTACAATAATATGGTAGGATACAACATGTTAGACATTACAGTGCCATCGTTCATCATATCCTTTTTATCAGACAATGTAAACAACACAGTACAACACATTGAGGGGTGTTCACTTCAAATTCATAAATTTATAATTTCTACCTCTTAAAATGAAGATGTTTTTCCCTCAAGCTTTCAACATTTTCTTTGTTGATTCCTGCTTTCGGTTTGTAATAGTTTTTGTAGTCCCTAAGGACACGCTCACTCGGGAGAATCAAGGCACCACTGTCTTGCAGCTCACGATATGCACTAGCAGATTTAGCATGAAGTGACAGGGCAAACCGGATAATTTGGGGGTCATATCTTCTTCCCATCTTGCTTGTTTGAAGAAGCTTCATCTGCTGCTCCCAGAAAAACTTCATGTGTGGATTTTCTTCAAGGTTTTTTCCAGCCATGATTTTAAGGATGTCTTTCTCAGTAGACTCACTTATGCCCAAACCATTCGTTTCAATATTTCTTTCCAAATTCTGAAGTCTTCCCTCTAGTTCCTTACACTCAAGCCGGGTAGCCTTCAAAGTAGCATGCAACTTTTCAGGTCCACATGCTGCAAGTGGTGCTTTAGGTTTTGCCGGAAGCTTTGACGACCTTGATTTTCTTCTGCTGGCTTTCTTGATCTTGGTAACAGCACTGGAACATGGTTTGCATTGTTCTTCATCAGTTGGGGCAATTATAGTTCACAGTCAACAGAGCAAAAAAATACAGTAACTTCAAAGTGAGTATCACCATCACATGGCAGCTTTGGTGATGAATGGCATAGAACAGTTCCTGACTCTAAAGAACATTGTGATGTAGGATCAATAACAAGTGGTTGCACATCATCATCATCTTGAGGCAATCCGTTGCATAACGATGACTTTTCAACTACTTCCAACACTTCTGAAATATTGGCGTATCGAACAGTTTGTCTAAATTCCTGATAGACACTATGGTTTTCTGATGGGGGCCAGTTGTATACCAGGACTGAAATTTACAAGCCAGTGTCCACCTCCAAGGAGTATTTTGGTAAACAATGTAAATTGTCAAAAAATTCAAACTTGACTTTGCCGTTGCTAGTTATTTCCGCATTCCAAGGGTCAAATTTCCCTTCCTTCACTTGCTTGACAATGCCATCGAAGTCTACGAGGCGAAATTCACTTGGGGAGCTTGTGGATGTCGAAGGGTCTTCGTAAGAACAGTCAGGCGTCGTGTCCATCTTTACCAGTGGTCTTTGTTCTTTGTTGTTGGTTTTTCGTGGCTTCTCGTAGGAAGATTCTCAGTTGGAACACTGCCGCACACCAAATCTTTTCTTTTCGGAGCTGTAGATTAAAATTTGGCAGATAATATTACAGTGTAAAATTATGACCTCAGTTGCAAAATTACTGTATTAAATTATATATCGTATTTGACTAAGATTTATTCACGGCGCACGTAAAATAGCCTTTCCACCTAGCATTGGAAAAGTTTGGATAACCAGTCATATATTTAACAGAAGTTGTTCATAGACTTAGCAGTTTTCTATGTATTATTAACATGGACAATCGGACATGACCTTTGGCTTTGTATTCTCAACCACATTATTTCATAAATATTCATAACAAGGTTAACACAAATATATATAAGCTAGAATACTTACAGACATTAATGCACTCGGGTTTAAAATGAAGCTCACAGAGATGGATGTTGTTGTTTTCTATCTGTTTTTTCAGATCGGGCGTCATCTCTCTCATTCTTAAAATGAGGCGAAGCCATTCTTCTCTAGCATTTTGTTTCAAAGATTTGACATGATCGCCATCTCTTGCGCTGACAACGGGAATTTTAAACAGTGATATTTTCTTTCTACCGCTGCTAAAACAGCCATAAAACGCACAGTTTGCACTGGGCATTTCCTTTAACTTACATTGAACAAGATAAAACAATTAAAATATCTCTTTCTGGGTTAAAAATATCACTTTCAACTGAGGATAGCCACTCACACAATGTAATTCAATACACTCATAGAATCTGGCGTGCCGCTAAGTTTCCACGTGACTAAAATAATTGGCGAACAATAACATAATTTGTCACATGGTACAACTAGCCTAACCATCTCAGTCTATTAACTGTGGTTTCATGTTGTCTTTGTTATGTTAACAGGCACTGCAGTTTTAAAACAAGTCAATTTACGCTATTGCCTTATGGAGCAGGAGCGACGTATGAACACGAAGTTTAAACTCCCTATTTGCGATAGCAGTGAAAAAAGGCGCGAAAGTACAAAATGCATGGCTCAACAAAGATAGTGTGTTTTATTTTTCGCCCTTAAGATCAGCTTATATCATATAAAGACCTAGTATATGAAAACACGATTACACGAATAATATAATGTGTATTGTGTAACATATAAAGGTACTTTATATGGATTGGCTTTACTCCTTTTGATTCAGAGCGTTCAATACCATTGTTTAAATTAACCAAGGTGGAACGCAGGTATAATTTTTATGAAATACAAGTCATGTTCACAAAAACAGATACCCCTTGAAGTATTTTCGTCGTCCAGTTCATGTCCTAAACCTAAAAAATGAAATTGTATGTTATTAGTAGACAGAAAAATAATACGGTCTTTATGGACGAATAATGTTATCTGACTTTACCCATAGGCCATACTATTTGATAATTCTGAATTCAGCGAGTCTGCAACATTTCGCAATGCTAAAATTTTAACACTTATTAGTTATTGGCAGCATTCCATTGACGGAAAATTTTCATCGAGATTTAGCTTCAGTAATGCACTTTTTGCCAAACTCCACCATGCTTTTACTTCCAATTATATATTATTAGGCGAGCTTTCGCCATGCGCACTCTGAACACAGAATTGAGATCTGGTTCATCTCGTTATACTATATAATTATATAAATAGTGATTTTGCATGAAAAGTTTGAACCCACCTGAGTCGTTAAGATCTAACTGTTTTCCTTCATTGTCGACTGAAGATTCTATCATAAGCAAATAAACAAGATTAGTATTTTTGCACAAGTGAATATAACAACAAATCCCACAAGTTGATTGGTCAAATTTGACGTATTAAGCTGTTTTATTATAAGGCAAGCATCACTTCCGGTGAAATGAGAGACTGATTGGCTAAGAAGCACTTTCAGCAGTCCATCAAATTGTAAATTATAATTTAATGTTATTAATAAGATATATGCGGATGGTTTTTAGTTGAAAAGAAGGAATGTATTGGTATTTTTTTGTTTTTTCGACCAAATGTGTACTACGATACTAATATACATTTCAAATCTTGCATTTCTCTTTTTGTTTCAAGTATAAATACCTATAAATGCCATATAATAAACTTTTTATTAACCTCGCTTGCTCAATGTACAGAGAAATATCGGACCTCGGTCTTTTTGTACAAACCTCACCCTACGGGCTCGGTCTGTACAAACAAAATCTCTGATATTTTTCTATACAGACCTTGCGTTCGGTTAATATAATAAGTTAATATTCACCTACAGGTGAATACAACAAAACCTAATTTTTTAAAATGGCGGCTAGCCTTTTTGTGGAAGTTACTGATAAAGAAATAAGCGAAATAAAAACACAAACTTGTGTAAAAATACTAAAACATTCGTCTCGGCTAATATTCCCCGATAATCACCGAGCCTGAGACGAATAAATGTTAATTGTGTCATTTTATTTATAGAATGCAAAGTGAAAGCGTGTTATATACCCCTATAGTGTTGCACAACAAATAGACCTTTCCACACGAAGTCAGTGGGTGGCGAATGTCCAAAGTTTCTTTGAACGCAATTGGCAGTAAATAACTATAGAAAACAGGCTTAAAACGTACAGTACTAATTGGACACACATTGTAATTACAATTAAAAAAAATGTTTATGATAAACTCACCGATTATCCTGGCAACAGATTTTGTCACAGATGTTCCATCACTCTGCTTTGTTGGCTTATCTGTTTGACTTGGCACAGCCGTTCTCTTTTCTGCCTCGCGCACGACGCCAGAAAGGAAGTCAATTTGTCTACTCATTTCTCTCGCGTCATTTTGTAATTGCAAAATTCTTCTAGATAGAGCTGCGTTTTCTCTCTTTAAACTTCCAAGCTCTTCTTTGTGCCTCCTTTTGATTTCCAAAATTTGTTGCTAATGGAAATCTTCAGTTTCTTTTGCCTTGGCCTCTACTTTTTCATCCGTAATTCTGATCTCTTCTTGGAGATCAGCACACCTCAAACATTCATGTGTTTTTTTCACATTTCTCGTCGTTGAGACATTATTTTGTACATATGTATTCAAGTGTTCAATAATTTGTCCAATTGTACACCAATATAAGAAAGTTTCCATGCGTTATGAGCTAGGGTTAACCATTGAAATGTGTCTAAAAAAGTGATACCTAGCAAGGTAATTTTTTGTCATGAAAAATGCAATGAACAAATAAAATGGGTATGAAGGTCTTTATCAAAACTTACTTTCATCAAGTTCGTCAATGCTTTTTTTTGGAAGAATGTGAACAGGACACCTTTCTGGTCATATCAGCAAAACTGGCCTTCTGGTTTACATTTGCATGTGGCATCCCCTTTGCCAAATCGCGAATGTTCTTATCGCTAATTTTTTGAAAGCCTGCGTTCTCTATGGTGAAGGTAGCATTCTGGATGATCAATGCGAGGAGTCTATTTTCTCCTTCCTGCCATGCACCACAGGTTTGATCCACTTTGACAACTAAATGCAAAGAGCATATAAATGTTATTATTATACATTGTAGTTGGTAAAAACAATTTGATTGGCTAAGAGCTTACAGTTAAATCACGCAACCTACAGAAAATTCATTTATCTGCAGATAACCGAGTTATCTGCAAATGAGCCTGCGATGATTAGCAAGCGGTATCTATTTAACACAAACAAATGTATAATTCCAGAACGATAATTGAATTCAGTTTTTGTCATGATATGCAAAATTATCACAGTCTCGTTAAGCATTATCAGTTTCGGCTAGGCTGCTTATCTCTACCTTGATAATTCCAATAATTGTTAATTATTATATATTCAAACCATATTCTCGTTTGTGATTGGTCAACATCTCCCGATAATTATTCTTTGGCTCTGGGTATGAAAGGTAACAAAACAATATTTTCTCGTTTTTATTTCTACATTACCAAAATAAATTAAAATTGTATGTACCTTATCCTTTTTATAGCCACATTTTATAATTGCTTGAAGAAGCAAATTGAAGAATTCCTCAAATGATGTGAGCGCTTTGGCACTCCCAACATACATTGACCGTATGAAGAGCAGAAAATCTGTGTTGAGGTAGTTGTCAACTTCCATTGTACTGACGATGCTGCTGTCGTCCACAAGTTTCACAATCTATAAGCGAAAGTTTTTAGACAATTAGGCTACACTTGGAAGGCTCGTGAAACTTGTAGCCCTCTCACGGCAGCCCATAAATACGTCATATTTGTATATAAGAAAGAAACGATTTTTGTTTTGCTTGGCTTCTCTCTGGTTATGTTCCTCGGTCTTTTTAGGATTAAATTATATGCCCTCTCATGATATCATGTCACAAGATTTGGATCGCTATCCTGTGCAGAGGTGAGCATATATAATCTACCAAAGGCGTCTGGGTATGTAAACGTTGTGGAAGTTAACAATAAAAAAAAATTGTTAGAAACAATCCTTAACAAATCGATTTCCTGAAAGTTTAGAGACAGCAACATGTGGATTGGACATATTAACAATGGACGTCTGAAATTCAGGCTACGTGTGAATCGGCTATTCAAATTTTAAAAATAACATTTTTAACCTATAATTTTATTCCTTCAGGTGAACATATAAGGAGAAAACCTCGGATATATAACAAACAGTATTAATTTAATTAGTAATAGCCATTGTTGCTTACCTCAAAGGCAAAGAACCTGTAGATAGAGTAAATATCAGGAAGACGAGGCAAAAGACCTGCAAGCTTGCTTTTGAAGAAGTTGGTGTGCTCCGAAAGGCCCGCGTCATTTATGCTTACAGAAAAGCGTATTATATCTAAAACACAGTTTGTTGTGGCCATCTCAAACATCACGTGTCGACCGTCCAAGAATGGCATTGATGTGCCCTCCTCTGCTGGTACCAACTTGTTAAACCATATTGGAGTCGTCTGCTCAAAGGATCTATGAATATGGTTGAGTAAATTTAGATTGTTGATATAACAATTATGGACACCAATTGTTCAAACTTGGCATGTGTTTGCTAAGAAACGTTGTTTGGTATAGCATGTGCTACATATCTCGTATTTGGTATGAATGGATGGATAAACGAATGAATGAATGAATGAATGGATGGATGAATAACTTTGTTTTAGTGTCAACGTATTTAGCTATTTACAGCTAACTGGGGTCGCTCAATTGTAAGGGTTTTCTAATGAAATTTTCTGTCTATCAGTTCTTTATAGCAACATGCTTTGCTTTTATGCATGTTTTTGGGTCTTTCTAGCTGTGCTTACAACTTTGGTTGATCTCTATTTTAGCAGTGGTGGTGGTGGGGGACACATCTGAATTTGCACTGATGTCATATAATATGTAATACTATTACATTCAGTAATATGTAATTGTGTATGTGTTGTTTTTAATTTGCTTGTAAGTTTTGTTAATTTTACGCAATTCGGCTGCCATGTAAAATCTATTAAACTATCTATCTATAAATCTATCTATCATGTCATATATTATTTTACCTCATGTCGTCATCCATCTTGAAATTGATTGTCAATAGAAACGAAGTGAGTGGTATTTCATTTCCTCGTAATTTTGTCTGACGCCCGAGTCCATTGAAGGCAGAAACTGATGGTTGACGCAAGAGACTTGGATGCGTGGGATCGTCCCAGCTCAATGGAATGGTTGTCTTGGAAAGATCGGAGGCAACAAATTCTCCCGAGGACTGCGAGACCATGTGCATACCCATCATTTTGCTGATAACGTGCAGCGCCGTCGATTTGCCACTAGCTATATCACCAATAGCCGTTGATACAGGACAGCATCCTATAAAATTGGACAATTGAAGATTCATCTTGTTGTATTATTAATAACATTCCGATGCCAAAAATAAAAATAGTTTGCATATATCGTCTAAAATTAAGATATATCTTTAGATATATTAAAGTCATGAGGAAAACAAAGACTGAGTATATGTCTTTGTATAATATACAAGCAAGTGAAGCAACTTGACTTTTGGTATCCTTACCAACTTTTCCCAGTATCTTTTGATAGTGAAAGGCACTAATATTGAAAAATAGTTTGGCCTGACTGATGAATTCTACCCAATCAAATTGCTGTAATGGCATTTCAATATGAACTGGATACGCTTGCAAAAATTTGTCGACGTGTTTGTCGGCCATAGCCGCAGGCATCGACCTCAAGAAAGGCACCATCCACTTGTGTTTGCAATGCTCAATGATGCCATTTCTGTATGTAAAAAAATAATAAACGTCAGTCACAATTTTATCTATTAAGTTAGCACACAATCTCTTTTGGTTTACATTATTTGCTTGATATTGCAAATATCAAGCTTATGACATCATAATATGCATGATGAGTTTCTACTGTATATAACAAATGTTTGTAGTTGCACACACACTTGTCATTCGTGACCAATGGACCATTTCCCATTTCATCTCAACAAGTCTGCACAAAATTTCATCATAGCATGACAAAGCATCACAAAATCAGTAATATTCTAAAGTTTTGTTGCGAAATGTTGTAAAATATGGATAATATATCCTTGCGAAGTTTGTAATTTTCAGTCAATTTGTATTACGGTAACCATTTCCCGTTTGTAATCTAAAATGACTGAAAATTGCAAACTTCGCAAGGCTATATTTTACAACATTTTGCAACGAAACTTTGGAATATTACTAATTTTGTGATGCTCTTTCTTTTTGTGATGAAATTTTTGTCTAGACTTGTTGAGTTCAAAATTTTGGTTAATTGGGGAATGGTCCATTACGTGCGACAAAAATCCTAGTGCGCGGGGAAATCTTCAGGATGTTTGTCACTTGTGTCGTGAACAACAAATATCAAACACGTTTGATATTTTATGTCTTTTTGACAAAAATTCCTAGTGTGCGGCAAACAGCTCATTGCAGCAAAGAAGTGCGGATGTTGTTTTGGGGAATATCACGCATGCGCATTTCTTTGCTGCGATGAGCAATTACGATGAGCTGTTTGCCACTAAACGAGTGACAAAAATCCTGACTATTTTCCCCGCACACTACTCACTAGGATTTTTGTTGCACGTAATTGGTCACAAATGGCAAGCGTGCATGCACTATTGTGTGCCGGGCTTAAATCATATTTTTACAAAATACAAAACAACAGTAAGTCCGAAAAGGAACATTTTTTATTCTAGTTTTCAATTACGTTTGATTCTATATTTCCATTTTTCGCTCAGACACTACTTTTGCTAGAATAATTTCTGTTTTAGCAAACCACGTGTAAGCGATCAATTTTATTTCAAGAACGCAGCAGGATATGGCCAGGCGGCAAGTAACTAAAAGTAACGAAACCTTAAATTACAATGCGTAAAACACCTAGTAATCCGACAAAAAAACATGCACAAACACCTAGTAATGCGACACAAAGTTCATATTAATTCGTTCAACAGCGTTATATGTCTTGCGTATATAAGCCGTAATTTTAGCTGCTTTGAATTGATTTCTACTTGTTTAGTTTGTGTGTATATTTCAAAACGTTCAAGACTTGCCAACCTTAGGAAATTATTAAGTAATATTTCAAATCCGACTATGAGGACTGGACTAGATTTCAAGTCCGCGCAAGTCACATTATAGCACAATGAGATGTCATATGAAGTTTCCGGCCTTACGGTTACGTTACGCTGCTCTCTCTTTGACACCTTGTGAACTTGATACATCTTATAAAATTCGAGAATAGTTTGCGAACGGCATCAATGGAGGTTCCCGATTGTAGTTACTATAGCTATGGACATAAATCTTTCCAAGCATGCAATGCTGTAGCCTACGCGGTGTAGACCCCAGCAGAAACACGTTTCGTGGTCTACACCGTAGGCTAGCAAAGCTGTGATTGTGACAAAACAGGATGTTTTTCTGGATTCAAACATGACGGGAAATGAAAATAAAGGCAACGATGACAGATGTTCGTCTTTTGCGGCTTGCGAAAAGAAAGAGTCTGACAAAAGCCATTTGTCGAGGTGAGGACTGGATCAAAATGCGAGGACTTGGAATCTAGTCCTGTCCGAATGGACCATTTGCATTATATATAGACTAAATTTTGATCTAGACAAAAAATTCTTCACAGCTTAAAAGAGCATCATAAAATTAATAATATTCCAAAGTTTCGTTGCAAAATGTTGTAAGATGCGGATAATATACCTTGCGAAATTTGCAATTTTCAGTCATTTTGTATTACAAACGGGAAACAATCTTGTACCCAGAGTATGCCGGTTCGCAAGTTAGGTGCTGACATACTCTGGGTACGAAACTGAACGGGAAATTGATGCCCCAACACCCGATTCGGCTGTCAATTTCCCATTTTCGGCAAACTTCGCATGGCTATATTATCCGTATTAACTATGATTCACCAAAGCCAACGTGATTTGTGGTGCCATGCATTTATTTCAAAACAAAGTAAAGCAATCCCCGACAATATTAATCTTTAAGTTGAGCATTCCGCCCAGTGGAATGTCATTCGCTACTGTTCTGAAACGAATTTATAACTTGATCAAGTAGAGCAGAAATCAATTCAAAGTAACTAAAATTATGGCTTATATGCAAGACATATAACGCTTGTTGAATAGATTAATATGAACTTTGTGTCGGATTACTAGGTGTTTGTGTGTGTTTTTTTGTCGGATTACTAGGTGTTTTACACATTGTAATTAAGGTTTCGTCACAACATTTTATGTACACTTGCCGCCTGCCCATATCCTGCTGCGTTCTTGACTTTAGTTCAAAGTTCGAACGCATAATATGAAGAATTTCAGTTAAATATTCAGTTGGGCATTTGATCGCTTACATGCATTTTGCTAAAACAGAAATTACTTTTGCTAAAGCAGAAATTACTTTAGCAAAAGCAGTGTCTGAGCGAAAAATGGAAATTTACAGCATTTTTCGACACACAACTTTTACGCACGACTTTTTATCCATGACACACAACCAAAACTCATACTCATTAATGCAGTGACAGGGATTCCAGCAGTTCCTGAAGACGATTGACGTTAATTGCATTACAGTATTTTAACGGTTATTATTCTTCCGAGTTCCGACTCCTGTCAACTTTATCGGAACTCAGAATAATAATAAAAACACTTAACCATGACATGAGGAAAATACAAAAGAAATGAATGTTTGTAAATCGCATAAAGATTTGTTTATTTTGATTTTCTCGGCTTAGTCTTAAGGCGGATTTCCAGTCTTCGCACAAAGTTCCTCACAGCTCGCTGCGAGTGCATGCATGAGCACTTTCATCCAATCACAATGCAAAACAGTTAATTTTAATTAGATACAAGCACTCGCAGTGAGCTGCGAGGAGCTTCGTGTGAGGACTGGAAATCCGCCTTTAGACAATGACAATGTGTATTTTTAAAATTACTTTGCCAATGAACTCAAAAGATGGTTCGTTTTTTAAGCACGTTAAAACATTCACATCCGATCTTTATCTGATATACAAACTCTCGCCTTCGGTTCGAGTTTCTATATCAGATAAAGATCGGATGCGAATGTTTTAACTAGTATTTAATTCAAAGAGAAAGCTTTCCGACTGTGGAATAAACGGCATAGTCATAGACATAGTAAATTTGTATAATTAAGCGGCAGCTAAAAATGATGGTTTTACTAAATTTTATCCCGTGGCTATGCAGTTATTTAACTATCATATTAACACATAGTCATGCAATGCTTGTGATGTTAATCTGAGTGTATATCTAAACCAGGCAAGCTTGACTGAAAGTATCATCCAAAAGTCGTACGTAGGTTCGATTCCCACCGTGGCCAGGTATATTTTTCAAGCTTGCCCGATCTGGATACACTCAGAGTAACATCACAAGCATCATATTCACCTGAGACTCTGAGTACATTACACAAACACAGAAAAAACAACAACAAAAGAAAAACATATAACCAGGAAAATTTCTTCAATTAACTACCTAAAACGCAAATAAAATTCGACATTCGAACAATGACCCTTCGACAAGTGTTTGTCAAGTTTATTGGATGCCAATCTGGCAATCTACACTGCATGTATACAGCTGTACTCATGACAAATATTATCATGTAACATACCTGAACCTCTTCATTGAAAATGTATACAATCACATCGATATCATCGACTTTTTAAACATTTCCATCCATTTCAATTCCTGGGTCATTATCCGGGTCATCCACAAAATCCCCATTGACATCGATTGTCTTGAAGTTTGGTTGACTTCCAATAATTAGCGATTCGTGTAGCCTTGTTGCATCTGGGGATTGCGAAAACTCCTTCAACTTGTCCATGATATACGTGGATAGCTGTATTTCATTGATGCCTTGCCAGATAACACCACCTTTCTCTGCAAAAGTGCGATTAATGGCTTTAAAGGTTTTGACGGACTCCATTTCAGAGACAGTTACGTAGCACTCCCTATTAATGAAATGCAAACAATTATAACATGAAATCAGTATTGTGTTTCACGAACAAATGATGTCATTATATATCTGTGTTAAATGTGATAAACTAACGAATAATATATAGACAAATAAAATATCACTTACATGGCAACTCCATCAACTCGTTGCACAAGCAATATATATCCGTTATATTTTCTTATTTCGCTGGCTGGAAATTTAACGAAGGCCTCAATACGGAAAAAAAAGTTGGCCGCACATATGTATTTGTTTTTCCCAACTTTTTTATGAATTGCAGGGCATCCACTTGCATCCTGGCATACAGGTAGTCCTTTGATTGGCGACACGGGTGTTTTGGCCATGCTCTCCGGCTATAAAAAGATAATAGGTAAAGCACATAATATATATGTGACAGCCTAATGTATTTTCTTTAAGCTACATGCTTCAATGAGATTTTGTTAAAAAGATGCAAAGAATACGTACAAATTTATCAAAACAGGCAGAAAATGTGAACAAGGTTTGCAAAAGGTGGTCGTGGCTTGTATACGAGAGTTGTCACGATTGACTAGCACGGCAGTAGTGGAAAACAAATGGCTTTTCTCAGACTCTTTCTTTTAGCAAGCCGCAAAAGACGAACATCTGTCATCGTTGCCTTTATTTTCATTTCCCGTCATGTTTGAATCCAGAAAAACATCCTGTTTTGTCACAATCACAGCTTTGCTAGCCTACGGTGTAGACCACGAAACGTGTTTCTGCTGGGGTCTACACCGCGTAGGCTACAGCATTGCATGCTTGGAAAGATTTATGTCCATAGCTATAGTAACTACAATCGGGAACCTCCATTGATGCCGTTCGCAAACTATTCTCGAATTTTATAAGACGTATCAAGTTCACAAGGTGTCAAAGAGAGCAGCGTAACGTAACCGTAAGGCCGGAAACTTCATATGACATCTCATTGTGCTATAAAATCATATAAACTATAATTGGCGCACGCGGGCGGCAAATGAAAAGCGGGAAAGTGAAAATCCAGCTTCGTTTATACTTTTTCCCCTTAAAAGATGTTTCTGTGCAGTGGAATATCAGCAGTTTTGTTTATTAAATTGTTAAAAATTTCAGGTCAACTATTCACCTTCTTATTAGGGCGCTCCCTCGGGGGGGGGATTATTATTATTATTAAAACATATTTAACACACTAATTAATCAACTAAAAAAATATTTACAAGCTTGTCGTTGCTTTTCGTTAGGCCGTGTACTTACAGGCAGTATAAGATATTCCCACCCACCCCAAACCACCCTAATATTAGAAAGATATACAAAGTTTATTATAGTCACTCCAACCACACCCAGATACGATTATATAGCAAAATAATTCAGGAGTTTTTCTTTCATTCCAAACTTTAGCAGCATTAGGGTATAACCGAAAGTTCGTTTCATTGAATTCATATTGATCAGAATTAGATAGTTAACATGTCCAAAATGTTCTCGGGACATTGGCATGTAAGTAGGGTTGGGCGATATTTAAAAAATCATCTCACGATTATTGTCAAGGAAATTATCACGATATTCGATAATATCGCGATAAATGCAATAAAAACAATGACCACATTTTTCAATTTTAATTAATATCAATGCATAGTAAGCTTATATATAATCTTATTAAAAAACAAGTAAAAACAAAAAATTAAAGTTGGGGCATTCTGAGCTCAACATGCTTGTTCTTAGATATAAACGAAGGATTGAATCGTATACTATAGTTCTTAATAGATTCTTATTCGATCTAAATTAAATAAATATAACAAATACATATTACAATACTATCGCTAAATTACATTACATATATAAATAAGATAAACTTACTTCTGTGAGGCTTCCCACGTTTACATCTTGGCGTAAATACTTATTTTATCTGGTTAGCAATACTGGTTAGCTTGTTTCAACTTATAAACACTGACTGGTTAGCGGGTAAAACCTTTGTTCAGTTCTTCTCTGTTCGGAATACTAATGTAGACAAATGTCAATCAAACTATATTGTTTACTTTAAATGTAAGTTGCAGTTAATATTAACTAATTATATTAAATCTGTCCCCTCAGCGGAGCTTTCTCCCCCAATGAGATACTTATCTTCATTCATCATATCCTTCTGCAGGCTGGATAACCACAATCTTCGTAATTGGTCTTGAATACTCTCCTGAAGGTGTTCTTACTTTCACGTTTCTAACATTCCCATCTGGTCCGGGATAAACTTCGATTATTCTTCCAATGATCCACTTTCCTCTGACTGCATTGTTATCTGATACGATCACAAAGTCATCGATTTTCACGTTGCGTTTTACTACGTTCCACTTTTTCCGCGGTAGAAGTAACGGAAATACATCTCTTTTCCAACGATTCCAAAAGGAATTAACAATCTTCTGCACGAATTCGAACTCGACTCGCCGTCTGGGATTTCTGGTTTATTCATTTGAAGAAACGACACACTTGAATTTGACAGCTTTGGCGATGTCGTGAACTCGTATTATCCAATACATACGTCTTGTTTTAGCGGCTGTTGTTGCAATCCCCGAATGTCCACATCGGTGGGCTTCTTCTGTAATAAGACGAGATACTCTGTGGCTATACGGTAATAATACAGGATGCTTTGTTTCATAAGAAACGACTGCATTATCTACACGTCCTCTGACTCGTATAATACCGTCAGCATCAACAAATGGAGTCAGCATCTTGAACTCGTTTTTCTTTACTCTTTCTTCCAAACTCGTTTGGGTGTGCTTGATCCAGTAAATGCGACTTTGTTCGAGCTCCTCTGGTGTCAAGGGTGCTTGGTTGGCTTTGCGCGCTTCGTTACCAGGCTTTATTTTCGCCATCAGGTTATTCTTTAACCATAATACCCATGCAGTGACTCTGATTAATTCTTCCATGTCGAATATACATTGCAATCTATAACACTCTCTTTCGCTGTCGTTACTGCTGCGGATGCTACCGTTTGTTTCTTCCTAACTTCTTTCTCAACTTCTTTGACATCTGGTTTGAAATCTTCATGTGGCCATTCCTCCGTAGGTTTGCGTAGAAAATCTGGTCCTTCTTTCCATCTGCCCGATAATTCAACGACCGTTATTCCACGGGAAACGTCGTCAGCAACGTTGCTCTCACTAGGAATATGTCTCCATTGACAGGGTTGTACATTGCTCTGAATCTCTCCGACTCTGCTTGATACGAATGGCTTAAAACGTCTTCCTTTGCTACGAATCCATGCTAACATAATTGTGTTGTCCGTGAACAGGATAATTTCTTTGAACTGCATTCGCGTTTCTTGTATGGTTTTGCATAACCTACTAGCCAGTACCGCTGCTTGAAGTTCTAGTCTCGGAATACTTAACTCCTTCAGTGGAGCGACTCGTGACTTGGCTGCTACGAATTTCACTGCAACTAAACCGCTCACATCCACGCTTCTGATATATGCACAAGTTCCAAATGCACCTCGGGACTTCAGGATGTCAGGTACAACTTTGTATTTCAACATGTCATCACTGTTGTTCTACACGACACCGAGTACATTCTCCTCTGATGTTCCTTGAGGGACCTTGATTTCTTCCATTTCTTGCATTGTTTTTGTTTAGATCTTCGTTAGATCGCCATTCCTTCACCTTGAAACCGCCGTTTGCAAGTATGTCATCGATTGCACGTGAAAGCTCCTCCGCTTCTTTTACAGTGTTAACCGAATCTAATATGTCGTCCATATACGTATTGTCTTTCACCATTTGCGCTGCTCTGGGATTCATAGCTTCACCTTCTACAGCCGTCTTCTTTAACACTATTTGGGCCATAGCTGGCGCAGGTTTATCACCGAAAGTTATCACATTCATAACATATGTATCAGGTGGTCTGTTTGTCTCCATGTTCCTCCATAGAAATCTGTGGACGTGCTGATCTTCAAGTGGAATTAGCACCCTATGGTCATCTTTGAGATATCTGCATTCAATGCCACTTTGTTTTCTCTGAATCGTAGGATGACTCCGAATAAGTTGTTAAGTAAATCTGGACCTTTGAGCCAATAATCGTTGAGGCACTGACCTTGGTACACAGAGCACGAGTTGAAGACTATCCTGATGGGTGTACTTTTGCTTTGAGATTTGACTACCGAGTGGTGGGCGATGTAATGAATAGGACCGTTATAATCATTTATTTATTTTTCTTCAAGTTTTCTTGCAAAGTTCAGATTGTTCATCTCCATTATCTGCATATCGTACGCTTTTGCATGTTCAGGATTCCTTTCGAGTCTGCTTTCCGAGTCTGCTTTCCGTCGCTTCGAGTCTTTTCATTGCCTGTTTGTTATCAGGTAGTCCCTTCGGATCTTTCTCCCAAGGATATGACACCATCCACTGGTCACCTACTTTCTTGCATGAATCTTCGGTAATCCTTGTCTCTTCTATCTCGGTCGGGCTAAGTTTGCTCGCAGTGCATTGACACAACTCTACTGCCACTCCCATTGATTCCGTCGTCCAGAATTCTGATAAATTTAGAGGGGCTGTGTATTTGATATGAAATATCTGGCTGGCTCGCAGTGTTTCTCCTGGTTTGGCTCCGAATATAACCCATCCTAAAGGTGAGCTTCTTGCTACTAAATCTCCGACTTGTTTAGTTTCTCCGGTGTGCATGCTCGGATGATCAATACCGATTAAAATGTCAACGGGTCCTTTACCACGGTGAATCTTATCTTTCAATCCCAACTGTTTTGCAATCTCCTTTGTCTTGATTCCAGCGATATCAACACTGATGGTAGGGATACTGACTGCTTTTATAACAAATCTCTTGTTGCTGTCTGGTGGGCTAACTTGAATTTTGTAGACCTTCGTACTGATTTCTTCCTCTTCGCCTCCAACTTTCGTCAACGTAATCGAAATGTTATCTCCTTCTAGTCCAAGGGTTTCTGCTGTTTCCTGACGTATAAGACTTAATTGAGCTCCAGAGTCCAATAATACGTTGCCACGCTTGTACAGGTTGTTTTCTCCATCAATATTCACTGAAATGACTGGAAGTAAGGCTTCTTGGTCCGTCGTAACTGAAGTAACATCTGCTCTTTGGCTACCATTTCGGTAGAGGGGGTGATGGAAATGCACACACTGGACACCATTTTCCTTTTCCATGCATTGTTTTCTTCGAGAACAGTTCGACATCCGGTGGTTTCTACTGGCTCTCTTTAAACAGCTATAACAGGCGTGGTGTTCTCTTGCGCATTGTAGGCGTTGGTCATGATTTAAGGACGAAAACTTCGGACATTGATCCACCCAATGGGATGACGTTTTACAAAGCCAACATCGGTGGTTTGAGAATTGGTCTTCGCCTCCCTGGAATTGCTTTAAATGATTGATTGAATGTTTGGTACTTGTTCTCAATGGTGCAGACGCTCTCATTCTGGACTTCATCTCGACATTCATCCATGTCATTAAGCCATGTAACGATGCTGTTTTCTTGTCTTTCTCGAGGTCACGTGACCAAACTTTTCTATCGTCAACACACATCTTTTTTTCAATGATCGATAACATGTGGCTGTTATCCATATCATTTGGCAAACCAACTTCCTTTAACGTGTTATAACTTCTCTTTACCAAGTGTACAAGTTCACAAAATCGGCCATCTTCGTCACTATTTACTGCTCTAAACTTGACTATATCTTGCATTACTGTATCTGATACTACTCTAGGATAACCGTAAATCGAGTCCAAGTATTCCCAAGCTGCATCGTAATTTGTTCCGATGCCCTTAATCAGTTCAAGTGGTCTTCCGTTTAAACATGTTCATAAAAGTGTTACAGCATCACGTTTAGAGGACCTTGGTTCAATAGCATGCTTAAAATAGGCTTTAAATATTGCGTACACCCGTACATCTCCCGAAAATTTAGGCAATTTTGGTTTTTCCATCTTAAATCCGCACGCGCTGTGTTTTCAGTGGGTACCTCTCCCCCCGTCGTGACAGGTTGACTTCCGGTTGAGACAGACAGGGCGTTGTCTGCCAAAACTTGCTCTAAATTAACATTGTTGTTTTCATTTTGGTCGCTATTATTTTCGTTATGAGCGTCACTTGCACTAGGCTGACTGTTCGTTATATTTTCTTTGCTTACTTGTTTTGCAGCTTCATCTAGATGTTTTTTGCCTTCTATCTCAAAATTCATAAAAGCTTCCTGACAATCGGCTAGCCAGGCTTCTTCCGTTTCGAATTCTGCATCGTCTTCGATTAATTTAGTAAGTTCTTCGTGTTTAGTTATCAATTTTTCATATGCTTCTTGTAGCTTAGTTAGCGATTGTTTAACCTCCTCTGCTGGTCGCTGTACGTGGAGTGTATGTCTTAATGTTTTCCCTGCTCTGGTTAACGTTGCTTTGGCATTTCTACGACTGATCTTAGCTTCTTTTAATAACTCTGACATTTTAGTAAACTGTTCGTGTCTCGCTCGTCGCGCCCTTTTAGCAGTTTAATAACACCATATAGAAATTGAATGATGGGGCGTTCTGAGCTCAATGTGCTTGTTCTTAGATATAAACGAAGGATTGAATCATATACTATAGTTCTTAATAGATTCTTATTCTATCTAAATTAAACAAATATAACAAATACATATTACAATACTATTGCTAAATTACATTACATATATAAATAAGATAAACTTACTTCTGTGAGGCTTCCCACTTTTACATCTTGGCGTAAATACTTATTTTATCTGGTTAGCAATACTGGTTAGCTTGTTTCAACTTATAAACACTGACTGGTTAGCGGGTAAAACCTTTGTTCAGTTCTGCTCTGTTCGGAATACTAATGTAGACAAATGTCAATCAAACTATATTGTTTACTTTAAATGTAAGTTGAAGTTAATATTAACTAATTATATTAAGTCTGTCCCCTCAGTGGAGCAAAAGTAATATGAAGGCTTTTTGTAGTCTAATATTCACTGTTCATAAACCAGAACTGTATTTGCATTATCTACTATGTCTCCGCTGGCACAAATACTGTGTGCACACAGCCCAAGCAAAGCCTGCAATGTCATTTTAATTCAGGAAATAGTTTTAATTCTTTTAAAAACTATATTTTCTAGGAACTGAAAGAATTTTTTAGGATTTTATATACACATGCGAAGCAATATCATGATAATTTCAATATATCGTCGCTCAAGTATCTACCTTCGATACGATAATCGCGATTGAAAATATCGCGATAAATCAAAATATCGAAATATCGCCCAACCCTACATGTAAGTGCTTTTGATACATATTGTATTTGTTGCTCCTTCCTTCTTTCGCCTAACGTTTTATTTTAAAATCATTTCCTCAATTAAGTATTTTTTTTCAATTCTCGACTGAAATTGAACAAAACCTTATGGTCAAATTACCCTTTTAAACAATGTGTGTATACGCCGATGTTAATTGTGATGTGCACATGCACTTTCTCCAGTGATAATTCTTTTACGACCTTTCTTTTAAGCGTAACAATTGGAAAATCGTCAGCATAAAGCTAATTATCATCCTGTTTCGTTGTTGCCTTCGTTTTCAAAAATTTGCGAAAAAACTTTTATAATTTTTTATTAGATATTGGATTCTTATACAAATATCAATCGGATTTCAGACCTTGAGATTGTACTGTTAATCAGTTAATATATATTACTCATCAAAGTTATCTGGACTGCTTTTATTCTTATATATATAAATGATATTATATAGATAATACTCTCCTTTTTGAAATTGTCGATGATGTAGATGTTTCTGCAGAAAATATAAGTGATGATTTGAAAATAATTTCAGTTTGATCTAAAAAATGGGCTTGTTTCAATGAATCCTAATTCAAAATGTCGAAGTATATAGTCTTTTCTCTTAAACTTGATAAACCACTGAGCTTTACTATATATATCTCAGTGTGATAAAACCCGTCCATCCACCATTGTTTTTAGATGATGTATGCATTGAGGAAGTTGAAAATATACCCATCTTGGGCTTGTGTTTCAAACTATAATATGCTTTGGTGGGGTCACATACAAAATATTATTGAAAAGGTTTCAAAAAGATTAAATATGTTGAAGTTGCTCAAATATGAAGTTAATAGATCTACATTAACTTGTTAACTTGTTTATATAAAAGTATGATAAGGCCTTTATTGGAGTATGAGAAGTAAGTTTATTGGAACATATCCAGTATGAGTCTTTGGGCACTGATGTGAGAAATTCAGATTTCATTGATTCATTTAAAGTTAAATTCAATGTTTGTTCCTTCAATGTATAATGACATCTTTGATGGTTTCTCTTACCCATCGGGCGTCGACCCTGCATGCGCGTCTTAGATTGGTTTTTCATGGTCTTAATGAATATTTGTTTAAAATTAATTGTCTTTCTTCACCTCTTTGTCATTGTGGCATGAGTAATGAATCTGTCCAACATTATTTCTTACATTGTCCCTGATTTACTGCCCAACACAATCTATTTCTTGCCTCTGCTGTGTGGATATGCGGTCAAAGTTGGTCGGAGAGTAGCGATGAGAAATTCATAAATACATTCTCTCCACAAATCGCTTCTCTCCTACAGGTCATGTATAATGTGTTATTTTTGTGGTATAATATATCATTTTGTGATGTATGCTTGTGTCTTTTTGTGATGTCCTAATGTATTCGGGTTTTTTAAACAATAGTTTTGTGTGTTTATGTAATTTAATGTATGTGTGAGTCCTCATGATAAGCTGTTTGTGCTAAAAAGGAAAACACTTTGTAATAAAATATGTTTATATAAAAAAACTTCTTCAGACAGTCTATGATTATGATGATGAATTGCTCTGGTGCATGCAATTGCCTCGTCAGGGATCTGATTCCCACCCCTATTCGCACCTCCCGCAGAAAATTTAAAATGTGCATGCATCTAAATTATTATTATTATTATTATTATGTACACATGCGAAGCAATATCACGATAAGCCAATATCACGATAAAGCCATCACAAAATCAGTCCAATACTTGCCGAAACTCCTCATCAACAATAATCTGATACCAACAATAAAGATTGGAGAAGCATTTCAATATTTAGGACGTTACTTCGATTTTAACATGTCGAATAATAACCATAAGACTGAATTAACCACTCTCGTTAATGAACTAATGACTGATATTGACTCGACGCCACTCCACCCAAGAAATAAGTTTCTCGTGTACAGTCGTTATGTCTTATCCAAATTATCCTGGCATTTCACCATCGCAACGCTTTCTAAAACATGGGTTATTGAAAATATTGATCCCATAGTCAACCAGTACATCTGTAAATGGCTTGAAATTCCAATCTCAGGAACACTAAGTACTGTTTTTCTAACTTGTAACAAATTTGGTCAAAGTATTTATCCTCCATCGGTGAAATTTATCCAATGTCAAACAGTTCTTCGAAAAGCTTTAAAACTTTCTCCTAATCAATCAATTAACAAACTGTGGAAATCTACTAATACTCATACTAATATCCAATACGACTTTTATAACTCAACCAAAGAAGTGCTTAAAGATTTTCGCTCTGAACATGAAGATAAACTCAAAAACCAATTAACTTGTCAGGGATCCTTTTTCTCTAATGTAACAAAGTTCTCCTTGTCGCATCTTAACAAAGTGTGGTCTACTGCTCAATCAAAACTTCCGAAAAACATTTATAACTTTACTATACGCTATATCAATAACTCTCTTCCGACATGTAAGAACCTTAGCAGATGGGAATTGTCTTCAAGTTCAGAATGCTCCTTTTGTCTCAGCCCAGAATCATTATTGCACGTGGTCGCTGGATGTCAGTGTTATCTCGATCGATTTACGTGGAGGCACAATTCAATCCTGAACTTTCTTGCAAATACCTTGCAAACTGTGAACAGTTCTGCCCTCTACGCTGATGTGCCTGGATTCAAAAGTCCGTCAATAATAACTGGTGATACGTATCACCCGGATTTGTTGCTATCATTATCAAATGGCTCTCTCTATGTGGTCAAGCTCACTGTTGGCTATGAGACAAACCTCGAGAACAACGTTAAACGGAAAAAAGCCAAATATAGAGAACTAGTAAGACAGCTAGATGAAAATTTTGACGAAGTAAACTTTGTTAATCTTTCCATGAGCTCCCTAGGTATTTTTTCACAAGAATGCTCTACATTCTTAGAAATGTTAGGAAATGTTGGTCTCGACAAAAACTACCAAACGTACTGTGTTAGGAAAATGATGACTATTGCCATTCAAAGTAGTTATTACATTTTCTGCTGTCGAAATAAGGAATGGGAAAGTCCGGACTTGTTAACTATTTGAAATATTTGATTGTCTTGTATATTTATATATTTTCATGTATTCAGTTTTGTCATTATTATTAGTTAATAGTTGTGATTATTATTATTATTAGTGGACATCGATAAGCTACATTTAGTAAGTGAGGTTTATCAATGTATATATAGTATATCGTAAATATCTAATAAAAAGTTTCCATTATTATTATTATTATAATTATAATTATTATTATTATAATTATAATAATAATTCTAATAATAATTCTAATAATTCTAATAATTCTAATAATTCTATTTCTAATTCTATTTCCAATTCCAACTCTAATTCTAATTCTAATTAGAATTCTTTGGAGAATTTGTCGTACAATTTACCATTATTAAGCCATATCATCAATTAATGGTTGATCAAACGATGTTTGATGGACGTTGTACGTGTTGATGTTCATATTTCGCTGTAAGCTATTTATGGGAATGATTTAATTAATAGAAAATGTATACATTGTGGGATAAATTATTAAGAACAACTTTTAAGTTAACCACCATTGGAGGGATGATATATGAAAAGAGTGGGTACATCTAATATTGGTGTTCGTGAGTCAGTGTAATAATATGTAGGGGCTCTGGGCGTTACCCACCAGAAAATTTGTAGATTTTACAGTCGAACCTGTATTAAGCAGCCCTCCATTAAGCGGCCACCCTCTATTAAACAGCCACATATCGAAGTCCTGAAATTTTTGTAATGCAAATACTATAAACCATTCCTCTATTAAACGGCCACCTCCATTAAGCGGCCGCGGCCACCCAAAGAGCAGTCCCAAATGTTGTTTTATGTCAATTTTTACCTCTATTAAGCGGCCAGCCTGCAGGATTTACTTGGCACAACACCTTGTCAAGAGAGCCAAAAATAAAAGTTGCGCTAGTTCGCTTTATTTGTAAAATAAGGCTTAAAAATTATGTTTTAACACATGCCACTTTACCCCTCAAAAGCTTTACACCTCAAAAGCATCGACTATGTCCAGGGTCTATTATTTGCATACCTCTATTTAGCAGCACGATGGCTGGTTGCTAACGAATTTTCCTCCGATTAGAATCGCAGCAGGTAACTCGTTCTTAGTCTTCCGGCTTTACGCGATTCGCTCGGTTTGAAGTGTCCGACTTTGAAGGCAAATATTTCGGTTTTCTTTGTATTTCCCGTATAAGTTCTCACAAAAGAGAGTACATATAGTCCCCCTTGTTAATATACTATAGCAGAAATTTTGATAATTTTGACACATAATACAAAAATTACGGATAACTAGACCCTACAAATGAACTACGTATGGTATTTACAGTGACACGTGAGTGAACAAATCATACCTTCATGGATCCCCTTAGTAAGGTATTTGGTAGATAAACAATACCCCCTTGGAATCCCCCCTTATATTTTATGTTTTGCTAAAGCAATCGAAGGAGAAAGGCAAAATCCACGCTTTCGTCGTAAACAATCTCAAATCTAATCAGTTTAGTCGATTTGCGCAGGAAATTTCCAAGAGGGAATTGAAGATCACGTTTTTATGTAAATTAATGAATGGCAAGTAGCTCAAAAGAAAGGTAAGAATGTATGCTGTAATTCGGAAACTGATTTGCATTTCAATGCTTTCATTCTCAACGCCATTTTGATTGCTCGACCCCTGCTGTTTTTTTTCTGTTTAGCTCTTCTAAAGCGTGTTCTAAAAGCAGAAAATGCAGCAAAAGTTGGTCACACATTGCAAAGTGTGATAAGAAAAAAGAACATAGCAGATTTTGGGAGAAATCGGCGTTCTTTCAGGTGCAAAATCACCAAGGGCAATTGTCAAGTGATATCCAAGACACTGAGCTTAAAAAAGTAAAGGTTGACCTTGTCGAGCAACAGCTTGAGGAAAAACAAAACCAAGTCAGTTCGCTTGTGGCTGTAGCAGAGGAAAAAGTGGCTGTTGCTGGTACGTATAAGTTACTTATAAGTTACTTATAAGTTACTTATGTTTTCTATGAGACTGTAAAATTCAAATGGGGACAAATATGGCTGACAGCCACATTTGGCTGTCTTTTAATAGCAAACAATTGCCTACAATAGTAAACCCACCGCCACTGGTCAATATTTATGTCTTATTTTACCAGAATAAAATTCCATATTATAATCTGCCTATTTATTTATTTATTTATTTATTCATTTAGCTTTGCCATATTTCTACAGCACAGAAATGATTATATATAAAAATACACATTAAAGCCTGGTTTCCATTTAGTCGCAACTATTGTGAACATATCAAGGTGACCGATGTAAGGCCCTGCTTACATGAGACCGTAACGAAGTCAAACCGGGACCATTTTGTTTCGGTCATAGTATTATCTATAATAGATGTTCACATGAAACCGAGACGAAAATAACTGAGACCGGTCTGAAGTCATTCCGCCTGCTGGACCGAACCGACTGACTTCACACCGGCACGAATTCAGACCGAGATGAATGTAAACACAAATACATTTCAGACCGGTGTCGGCTGTAACCTTGACATTGGAACAACACATGCTAACAAAAGCCATCTGAAAAAGAAAATTGCCTGGCAAGGGGAATAAATTGAAAATTTTGTGATATTCGTACCGGTCTCATGTAAACATGTTGACAATTCGGTTTTAACTTAATTTGCAGTTTAACTTCGTCCCGGTCTCATGTAAATGGGGCCTAATAGAGTCTTGTTATATCTCTGCAATACGTAAGACTGATTTGCATACAGCAAGCAGAAGACAATTAGATAGATCCAGACTATTTCACATTGTTGAAGATGACTTGGTCACGACAGTTACGACCAAACACAAACTAGGCTTAAGAATATAAAGAGTCACAATTGGCAAGGTATCCGCAACAGCAGTGCCAATTACTGCGGGCCCAATACAACAAAATAAACAACCTTAATTACATAACACTTTTTGTTTGTGGAAACACCACGTAAATTTATTAATGCAAAGCTTTCGATCCGTAAGCCCGGATTTTCATCAGTGCTAATAATAATAATAAATAATAAATTTATTAATTTATTAATTTATTTTTAATAAATTTACGTGGTGTTTCCACAAACAAAAATCTTATATATTTTATCACCATGCAATCATACAAAGAACTTATAACATTAATTACACTTAGAAAACAATAAAATCTCTAAGAAACATACTTAATACAAATGTGAACAAAGTAAATTGGTTTGTTTTAACATCTCGACCGGTCTGTGTCAGTGTCGGTAGCAATAGCAACAACAATACACTTTGGATGCATAAGGATTCAACTACCTGAATTGAGCGAAGGCCTTTCATCACTAACTTGCATGTATTTTCCAAGTGTATTGTTGATATTATCAAGACCTTAAAATTAAAATTGTTATCAATGCCTTTTTCCGCTTATAGAATGTGATTTGCAAAAATATATTCAGGAAAAGGAAGTTGCAGCACAAAAAGTTACTGAACAACAGCAGAAATTAAGAAATATGACTCAGCAATATGGTAGATTGAAAATACTGTTTGACCGCAAAGACCAATCTCAAACACGAAGATGGAACACAAGTACCACGCAAGAGACCATCACCAATAATAAATCTGGTGTTCGCTACAGGAGACGAGGCAAAACCAAAGATGCACTTGAATTTATTCATGGTGGAGAAGAAGGTGCATTATTTGGTGCATGGGATTTTGTTTCGTCAAATGCCCCAAAAGCTATGATGGAAGATATGATTGGCAACTATAGGCTGGGAAGATATTTAGAAGGAATTGTAAGACTGTTAAAGAACTAACTGATGCTACCAATTCTTTAAATAATGCTGTAAGTTTAAAGTACAATAACTTTCTCTCTCGTAGAAAATTGAATTTACTTTGTAAAACTTCTTCTGTTTTTGACACTGATAAGGAAGTATGGGTGCCAAGAAATGTTAAGTGTTTGGGTGTTGACGTTCAACTCTCACTTTCTAATGTATCCAATGAAAGTATTGAGAAATTTGTCAAAACCCTAGATATTGGTTGTGTTTGTCAGATTCCTGGGGTATCTGGTGTCACTAGGACAATTACGGGTATAGTATTCATGATAATAGACCTTCATTTAAGATTGCCTCATCTTTGCCGACAACTTGTGTGGTTTAATGGTAACACTAACCATTTTATTTTTCAATTCTTTGATGATGGTGCTCCTGAAACTAGCCAACTTTCTATGTCCATTGGAAGTTTGACATTTTGGAACTTAGGTGAATGGGTAAGAAGTAGGGAATTTCAGTGTCTTTTACATTGTGTAAGTCTGAGTGAGAAACATAATGTTCTTGAATTGCTTTGGCAACAGCATACTGAGGAGATGCTGTTATTAGAGTCTAGTGTTTTTGTGGTGTCTGGTAAGGAGTGTACTCTCGAATTCCAACCCAGTGCTGATATGAGTTGGCAAAGCTGGGCATGTAATGAGCTTAATCAAGCTGCCCCATACCCTTCGCCTTATGCAAATGTACACAAGGGCAACATGGACACAATGGGGGGAAGCATTGGGCATAGTAGTGCTGATTTGTAGAAGCCCTATGTTAGCAGTGATCGTGAAAAGCATTTAAGAGGCAGTCTCTGTAAGAACCTCATGACCTCTTTGGATCAAGAAATAGATTTCTCTCAAACTTTGTAGTTGAGATTGCCTTTATAAGGGTTGTTTCAAAATGCATTTTGTTTTCAGTCTAATTGCATTTTGGCAAAGTTCCAGGGGGGTCAAGTTGAGGGCTAAAATTACGATTTTTGCTGTTTCTCAATAGTGGATTTTTGCTGATTTTTAAACCTCTGTACATCAAACAAAAATAATCATAAAACTAAATCTTTCCAGGCAATAGTAGCTTTATATGTCTTAAGTAACAAGGTATCTGTAAATTTTTCAAATTTGTTTTCTAAATATAGAAATGACATCATTCATGATAGACTAAAATAGAAATTTCCAAGTTCCTTAAAAATGGGTGAAATAAAAACCCTAAAATTCAAAAGTTAGACTTGCTATGAATGTAATATTACTTGTATGGTGAGATTAAAGGTTGGTCTTACATAATATAAAATAAAATATTGTGGCCTGTAAATTTTGGAGGTACTGCTGGCCAACAAAACATCAACATATTCGACTTTCGGCAGTTTGGAGCAAATAAGAACGTTCACGTTTACTGTAAACTCTGCTTTGAAAGAGCAAAATTTTACATATTACTGGACCTAGAACAGTGATGAACATTCGTTTGACCTTTACTGTTGTCTAAAGTCTTTTAGGGAAAAGCACTGACACAGGCATTGCCGTTATGTATGGACGTAATGGACCGTATTGCATAAATAATAAACATTTTCTAGCTGAATATAATCAAGACAAGTTATACCTTTGCATCATGTAAAGACGTCCGTTAGTCAACAAATTATCAAACATCGATTTATTTTGAAGATTTATTTAAAAATTCAAGAGAAAACCTACCCCAATATATTATTGATACAAAGTATGCCTCGATCGACAGCCTTGTCATAAATGACCCGGATTGTCAGTTGACTTATTATTTGACGTTCGTTAGCTGCCATTATTCTTTAGTGTTAATCGCTTTCGATATCTTAATGATTATTGTAGACACAGTCTTGTATATAAATCTTGATTCTTCGTCCGAACAGGCAATGTTAGTCAATTCCTCCATCAGTCCATCGTTTATATAACTCGATTTTGTTGTTGTTATGGCGGAGGCCGCTGACCAGCCAAATAATTCGCCTGTCAAACATACGGGGCGGGTTTGTGCACGATAGAGATATTTACAGCCTTGGAAAATTTGGCTTCCATCAAACAAATATCATGATAAACCTGTATTCTTCCGCACAATAGTAGCTTGGTATGTCCTAAGTATCAAGGAATCTATAATTTTTTTAAATATATTTTCTAAATATAGAAATGTTTCTATATTTAGAAAAATTACATTTAGTCTGTTTCATTCGTGACAGACTAAAATAGAGATTTTCATTAAAATAGAGATTACCCCACATTTTTAAGGATTGGAACAATTTACCCAATTCTATTTGAGAAAACGATTTCCTTATAACTTTTAAACATATCAAGAACTTTGGATTATAGTAGTGACCTATTTTACTTTTTACATCGTAATTTCCTGGTACATATACTTCAGAAAGATATATTATAACGTATTACTATTAGCATGTCACTTGCCGACTGGCGTGTTTATAGGTGATTATGGAATTCTTTTTTACGTTTAAATAGCAAAAGAAGTGCGTTTCTCTTTAGATGTTACTGCAGGTGCACTTTGAAAGTTCAGTTGCCAGCTTGTCCAATATAATCATCTTGGTATCGCGAGACTTATATTGTACTTCTAATTCGCTGCAGATTTCTTTCAGCATTTTGACATTGAAATTTTTCAATTCGTTACGTTGGCGTAATTCACATAGATTATATGTATCATGTATAATAGGATGTTGTAGGGCAATTTCAGAAAGTACGTCATTCATTATTGCATTGCGTTCATTTGCACCTTCAACAACCTCCACTTCATCTAGCCACTCATCAAGATCATCATCATCTGGATCAATAGAGATCTGTGTACCTAGTTGACTTTGCTTTCTTCGAGCAGCTGTAATTCTGGAAAAAAAACTTTTAATTTGAGATTTATTTAGCCAATCCTCTCGTGAAAATCGTCTGTCGCCATTTTGTAGCTTGGCATGTCTCATGTCTTCGGCCACTTTCTCAGGGTCACATTTATTTCCTGTCTTCTCTCCCAGATCATATTTAGCAATGAGATAGTCTTTGACTGCCTTCGGAAATCGCTTGCCGCCACCCTTTGATTTGTGGAGTGCCCAACCCTTCGGCAGATTTGACTTTCCCATATTTTCCTGATGCTTGGGTTTAGTGGTTTCATATTCTTCAAAGGTTAGTTCTGTAAATCTTGAGACCCAGTCAAGTTTAAGTTTGTCGTATAAACCCAAACGCTCGCGCTTCTTGTGCTCCCCAATTTCCATGTGTACATCGAGATCTTCTAATCTCTCAAAAACGGCATAACATTCACCTTCCGGACATTGATATGTGCTAACTTCGCTTTTATCTTCCACCGGTTCCTTCACCACACGACTTGAGCTTGGATTAAAGAATTCTTGTCCTTCTTCTACTTTCAGTAGGGTGGGGCCTTGTGGTGTCTTTTGCCACCTTCCGTATGGAATCAACTTTCCATCTCCTATTCCATACGCTTTCCATACGCGTACACCATCACATTCGAAGCAAAAGTTGTGAAAGGCACTAAAACCTTCAAGCTTCATTACTTCGAGCTTATTCGCTTCTGCATTCACAATGTTCACCGATGCAGTTGTACCTTTAACAGGTCTTTCTTTGAGTGCGTATCTCATTTGAGCCGCTGTTGTTATATCGTTGCCTTCGTTACAGAACTTCCTAATAGATGTTTTCAATGGACATAGTATTCTGTCACAAAGGTCCTTGCCATGTTGTGGCTCGGAATAATCATAGCGTTCCACCTGAATACCGACACGTTTACTGACATCCATAAGTGCTGCAATGATAAAGTTGTTGTGATTTAGTTATAGATGGATATTTTGCTTTGACATTGCTCAGAAGATTTTCGATGATTGATAGGACCGCAAACCAATCTTGCGTACAAGAGTCGAACAAGTGTGCATATGATGTAAGTTCTAATTTCTCGGTATTATTCAGTGACACAACAGTACAAATGTGCCAATTTAAACCTCTCTTTGCGTACCAATCTGATTGTTTTTCGCGGTATTTTAATTGTGTAAATTTCATTGCCCAGTCTAACAAGATCAATATTGTATTGGAGTTGACGCTTTTCAAGACGTCTTGTTTCGCACGGTCTTGATTTTCAGATCTTAGTATATGCGCTTTCCAATTTTCAATTGATGTTTTCGAATTGTTTATGTCGTAAAGAAGATCTTCGCGAATCTCTGTATCACTTTGTACAGTTTCATTGCACTTGTTTTCAATTTCTTCAAATACGTTTTTCAGTTTTTCACATTTGTCGCAAATGGTGTTGTGATAATCATGACAAGATTTTTGAAAATCCTTATCTTTTTCATCACTTAAAGCAAACACGTGACAGTGATCAGCACAAGAACTATCTTCTCTACAATTATCTTTGTACTGGGTTTTGAGATACCTCTTGCTTTCTCTCAAGGCTGTTTTTGTAGATTTAATCCACTTTGTTGAAACTCCAAATTTCTTTATCTGACCAAGAACTGTCTCTAGAGTATCAAAAGCAGCTGCACCGTCAGCAGCTGTATTATCCAGCCCTTGAAGTGATTTACGCTGCGATGACTTTCTTACTTCTAAGATTCTGTAAAGTGTCGATCGGCTTAATGCTTCAAACTCTTCATCTTTGCACAAACTTATATAGAGAGCAATCATTGTAGATCTAGTGACAATGCGTACAACATTTGGCATTGTAAGTATTTCTCCACTCTCCAATTCCAGATTGCGTGTACCGAACGCGACATCCTGATAAAAGTATGGCCTGTTTATAAAGTCAAGAAAATGATCCACTTTTTCCATGTCTACTCGCACACGATGTCTCTTTAAATTTTCAACCGGAATACCAGGGCCAGTTTTCTTCGCATGCTCTTTAGCTTTTCGCACTTGCCATTCGGTAATTTTTTCATATTTTTCATGCCTTCTCATGAGGACTTTCACAGGATACCAATCAGCGTAAATGCTGAGTATTTGCGTTTTTAAAGATTTTGACGGCGCGTTCATATAAGTCCACATTAATATATCCAACTCTTTGGAAACGGACTGTGCGTCCTGTTCAGCTGTGCCAAGGCCAAGGGACTTCAGAAGTTCATCTTTGGCGTTAGGAGCAATAACATCACATATCATCTCGCAAGCTACTTTAGCTGTCTTTATGCACTGCTCTTGATCTTTCCGTGATGCCTCTTCCCACGTTGAAGACAGTCTTGACTGAAGAGGTTTAAACTCGTTAGTGCTGGGCAACATAGTGGACAGCGTTGAAAAACATTCGTTGAAGGTAGTAAGACTTTCGTCATTGACATTCTGGTCGGGTGTTTCTGGTAGCCATTCAGAATCTCCAGAAGGTGTTGCTGGGGGTGGGGTGGCTGGGGGTGGTGAGAGCATAGCATTTCTGATACATTCAGCCACGCATTCTTTTGCTGATCTAATGTAGGAAGCACAAACATGTATATTCATTATCTAAGATTAGAACTCTTCAGTACAAAGTACAAATACGTATTTTATTGAGAGATATCTTCGAAAACTGAGCAAATCTTTATTTCACTAGATATCATGATAATTTACAAATGCAGTATATATAGTATACTATATACCTGGGTAAGAAGTCAGAGTCATGAGACTCGGATAGGTGAGACAGCTCGCTATTTGGGTTCGACTGTTTTGCTTCGCTTATGAGACGTTTCAGCTTCTTGCGACATGTACAACAATAATTTCACAAAGAGCAACCGAAAGCAAGTTACTTAAATTATATATTAACGCAACACGCAAGCAAGTTTATACGAAAGCAAGTTAATATCAAAACCGTGAAATTATACAAAATTCAGCTGCATGTGTTTTCACAAAAATTAAAAAGTCAAAAATCACCTGTGGAAATAGTCTCGCGGTAAATTTTCGGCGTCATGGATAAAAATAACTTTGTACACTTTATGACAATTATAAAATTATGCAGTTTATGAAAATTCAAAACATAAAGCATGCACAAATACGATATTTTTGAAATTTCCTATTTATATATCCGATATCGAGAATAATTTTAGAGCGACAGTTTTGGTTTTTCGTAATCCTTGGTACTTAAGAATAGTTGTGGGGAGGTTTTGCGATCATAACTTGCAAAATGAGAAACTACCTGGTCTTAATGGTTTCCCATTACAAAACACATACCTGCTCCAAGCTGCACATTTAGTCCGTACAGTTTCTGTGCCCATTTTGCAAGTTCGCACGTCACAACATCTCTGCCTGTTAATGTCTTTACAGCACAAGTGTGATTAGGCATATTGCATGATTTTTTCGTCGGGAGCCAAAATTTTCCAAGGCTATGTCTGTGTCGCGGACACACCCACCAATTAGAAACGTCCTTATCCATAACGTCAAACCTTCCCGACCTCGCTAAAATAAGACTGTATTCTGACAAGCCCTCTCTCGATAGATGGTAGGTTGAAAGGTGACTCTCCACATCATCGGTACAATCAAGTAACTTCACAAGGGAAGAGTTCCCACGAGATTCACCACAATTTTGATTGGCGTGAAAGCAAACAATTCTCGACATGTTGCACGTGTTTTGACAGCTGAATTATTTAGCTGGTCAGCGGCTTCCGCCATAACAATAACAAAACGAGTAAAATTAAACGATGGAGGAATTGACTACTAGCATTGCCTGTTGAAGAAGAATCACGATTTATATACGAGACTGTGTCTACAATAATCATTAAGATATCGAAAGTGATTAACACTAAAGAATAATGGAAGCTAACGAACGTCAAATAATAGGTCAACTGACAATCGAGGTCATTGAATGACAAGGCTATGATCGAGGCATACTTTGTATCAATTATATTGGGGTAGGTTTTCTCTTGACTTTCTAAATAAATCTTCAACATAAATTGATGTTTGATAATTTGTTGACTAACGGACGTCTTTACATGATGCAAATGTATAACTTGTCTTGATTATATTCAGCTAGAAAATGTTTATTATTTATGCAATGCGGTCCATTACGTTCATACATAACGGCAATGCCTGTGTCAGTGCTTTTCCCTAAAAGACTTTAGACAACAGTAAAGGTCAAGCGAATGTTCATCACTGTTCTAGGTCCAGTAATATGTAAAATTTTGCTCTTTCAAAGCAGAGTTTACAGTAAACGTGAACGTTCTTATTTGCTCCAAACTGCCGAAAGTCGAAAATGTTGATGTTTTGTTGGCCTGCAGTACCTCCAAAATTTACAGGCCGCAATATTTTATTTTATATTATGTAAGACCAACCTTTAATCTCACCATACAAATAATATTACATTCATAGCAAGTCTAACTTTTGAATTTTAGGGTTTTTATTTCACCCATTTTTAAGGAACTTGGAAATTTCTATTTTAGTCTATCATGAATGATGTCATTTCTATATTTAGAAAACAAATTTGAAAAATTTACAGATACCTTGTTGCTTAAGACATATAAAGCTACTATTGTCTGGAAAGATTTAGTTTTATGATTATTTTTGTTTGATGTACAGAGGTTTAAAAATCAGCAAAAATCCACTATTGAGAAACAGCAAAAATCGTAATTTTAGCCCTCAACTTGACCCCCCTGGAACTTTGCCAAAATGCAATTAGACTGAAAACAAAATGCATTTTGAAACAACCCTTATAAAGGCAATCTCAACTACAAAGTTTGAGAGAAATCTATTTCTTGATCCAAAGAGGTCATGAGGTTCTTACAGAGACTGCCTCTTAAGTATGGTCAATAACTATCTTGCGACCCTTCGAAAAGACTTAAGTGCATCAGTAGTCCATAGCAAGAAGCTCGCATTTATGGCTGAGAATGGAATCCGTCAGCTAGGAAATCCTAGAATTGGCATTTTTGCTGATCGGGTAAAACCCGATCCTCTGCATTGCGAAATCAATGCATGGCAGCACATTCTGGATCTAATTTATAGTGAGTCGGTTAGGCGATGTGCTTTTGACAAGTTCATTCAAACACTTTCTGCTCCTGTTGGATTATGCACTCTTAGTAAAGGTACTCAAGCTACCGAAGTAAATGGTGCAGATGGGTTGGCTGAGAGCTCCTTAAATGCATGTACTAGCTTGCCTGAGGACAACTTTGAGAAAGCTGTGACTCAAAATGTAAGCCTTTTACCAGGAATGCTAGATAACGTTTCCTTAATGGAAATGAATGAAAAGGCTGCTGCAGATAACATGACAAGCATGTTGCAAACTAAAGCAATTTTTCTTACCAGTAGCCCTGCAGATGTATATGGTTGTGGCCTGTCTTACCTTTCTACAAAGGTTGCGGAGCACTATGCTGATGAGACAAAACGCTTCAACAAACTAAGTGTTAGGCTTATTGGATCACAGGCAATTGCCCTTGCAAGACATGGCTACCGCCTAGTCGATGCTTTAAAAACAGCAAATGAAATGGAGGGCGAGAAAATAAACGTCTAGCATTTGGAAAAATTCTACACTACCTTCGAAATGCTGGAGGATTGTTTAATAAAGTTTTTGTAAACAATCCAGGTGAAATAGCTCAATTGGAGGAGTTTTGCCAGCTATACTTTAGTTTGCTAGTTTTATTCTTTCCTGGCAGTGTGAATGTAACTGTATGGACAGTGGCTTATGCCTTGCCATTTCATGCGAGGCAGATATATAAGAAGTACGGAATTGGCTTTGGGATACTCTCCCTACAAGCGAAAGAGTCAAAGCATGCAGGGCTAAAGGGTGAGCTCTCCATGACTAACAGATCACAATCATGATAGTAAGGGCAAGTGGTGGCAATTGATGAGGTCAAATTACATTAGATCTTTTTATCTGCCAGAACATCAACCCTCTCCACCCTCTTATTCATCACATTTTAAGTCCCGCAAACCTCCTCACTGTGATTCACCTGGGTATTGTGATTGTGGACGAGATAAATTAGATGTGGAGCATACATATGAGGCTATGCTTGTTAGTCGGTGTGCACAACAACAACAGCTTTCACCTGATGTTGTTGCTTTGCTTAAACCTTGTGTTTGCAATGTGTGCAACAAGCGGTTTCCTGATAAGCTTGGATTGAAAGCGCATCATGATAGTTCACACAAAAGGCAATCAAACACTGAAGTAAATTCTAAAACTTCCGTAAAATCTTTATCTGTAGATCAACTTAAAAGGCATTTGAGGGAGAAAGGTCTTTCTACTTCAGGTAAAAAATTGATTCTTTTGACACGGTTAGAAGGTGCGATGGCAGGAGAGGTATAATTATTTCTCAATGTTGTTGGTATGTTGTTCTTTTCTAAAATAGTGATGGTATAATAAGGAAGGGTTCAGTGTGGTTAACCCAGCTACCACAATAACGTTGTGACAACATTTTGCAAACGTAAGACTTACGTCATGAAAACGTTGTGTCACAACGTTGTCAAAACGGAAATTTGTAGACTCCACCGGACGTCGTTACAACGTTGTGACCAACGTTTAAAATTAACGTTCCCACCACGTTCTCACAACTTTACTGATATATGTTATTGCGATTTACTTCACACATAGATGATTAACATACTTAAAATAACTCTAGACATATATACACAGAGCCCAGTTGACGTTATTCAAAACCGTTCTATTCTGCATAGTCTAAAACAATTCTCTCAAAAACATTGCTATAACGTTTTTGGCTAACCTTATCACAACGTTTAAAATTAACGTTCTCACAACGTCCTCGCAACGTTTTCCGATATTCGTTCTTGCGATATATTTCACCTATAAATGATTGTGAGATACTTAAATGACACTAGACATATATACACAGAGGGGGATTTGACATTATTCAAAGCCATTTAATTCTTCATATTCTTAAACAATTTTCTCCAAACGTTGCTGCAACGTTAATTGTTCGTGCAAAGTTCTGACAACCTATATTTACGCCGTTCAGCGAAACTACATAATTTGCAATCGCTTTTATACTGTAAGAAATAAGAATACCAAATACATATACACAAAGTCAGTTCGATCTATATTATGAAATAATCTAGAATAAACGTTAAAATGTATACATTCTGTATTTATATATACATTATTTATTTACACAACACTTTGATAAAAATGTTTACACTGAGGGCCTGTTCATACGGGCAAAAGTTATCCCGGTTAACGAGAAAACTTTTCGATTAGCAATTACTTTTGCATTGTTCATATGGAGACGTTATCTCACTCACCGGGTAAAGTTTCCGGCTGTAACGTAGCGATGAACTGATGTTGAATTGAAAAGTTGCTGACACGACAGAAAGTTATCCCGCAAAAAAGCCATATGGTCGTAACGGTCGTAAAGATTGAATCACTATCTTTCTCATCAGCTGATATACAACATTTTAGAACTGAAAAGACGCCGAGTTATTATAACTGGAGAATACTTGTGATTTATATCCGGTTTACAGGTATAAACCATTATAAACTGGCTGTTGAGAAAGGTCGTGCCTCTATTTTTGCGACCATTATGCATTACGACCATATGGAAACCAGGCTTAAGCGGTAAAGTTGTATTCATATGGGAAAAACATCCCGGTCACCGAGATCTCGTCTGTCAACAAGCGAGATCTCAGTACACGGGAAAACGTTTTGTCTCATATATACAGTAAACACAGTGTAACTTTTCATATTATTTACATAACAAGGCGAGATCTCGCTTGTAAACTTGTCGAAAAATTTTGTCGCTAACCGGGATAACTTTTGCCCATATATGAGCAGGTCCTGAGACTTCAAAACCTACTTCAATAAATATACTATCATTAACCAAATAGGTATATGTTTACTTCGTATAGTTTTACAACACAGTTATACTTTCAACTTGCAAACCCATTCCGAATTTCGCTTAATTGCGAACATAGCAAGTTCGGAATTTGGGATCCACAAATTAAGTCAAGAGTAAAATATTAAAGTATATATAGTAATAGCTAGGGTTGTACACAATTCGGTTTGCTATTAAAGCAGCAAAAACTCGTGCAAACAAAAACACAAACATCAAAACTGACAATAACCTGGGTATAGCGCTATTGATTGGATATCCACAAAGGATCACAGTCAGAGAAAGTTTAAGTAAGTAAAAGTCGGCGTACATCACTCAGAATCTTGAACTTCATTTGTGATAGTCTTTAAAGGTGCACGCTTCTGTAAAAAGAAATGATTTATTAATTACATGCGCAAAATCAATGTCTTCCCATTCAGGCCTCAAAATAAGTGCCGGTCACTGACCGGTAAAATTTCACAGTTTGACCGGCAAATATCGTCGCCTGGCGGACATGCGTGACTGGTAAATGTTTTAATAAAAAGGTATGTTCAAAAATAGAGCAGATTTCTTATTTCCACGGTGCAGGCTAATAAGGGTGGCGAAATGACGCATTTTGTCATACAGATACGATATACCGCAAGCATTGTGCCTATATAAAGGGCTGTTTTCACATGTGCGACGGAAAAGTTTAAATCTTTTAAAATTTTGCAAATAACCTTAACAAGTACACATTAAATCATACACAAAACTGAATGCTGTCCTTTTTGTTAATTTTAGTTATTTCATAAGTAGGATGTAAAACGATTTCAACTTTTACGTGCGTGTACACGGGCGTATGAAAAACGCGTAACTGGAATGCAGCGTTAAAGCATGCTCGCAACTCAAACTACAGTTGTCATTTGCGACTTAATATATTAATTTGCTAGTAAACAATATTAATGTTATTAGTAATGATTACTACTACAGCTTTGATAAACACCATACTTCTACTTTGTATACAAATACAATAAAAATACACAATTATTTCTAAAGTTACTGTACGAGTCACACGAAAGATGGGGGGGGGGAAAGAAGGTAAGGAGTGACAATGACCGGCATAAATTCCGCTGTGACCTGTGTGATTCATTGGTCTTAATGACCGATAGGTCATAATGACCGGTATACCGTCCAGATTTATTTCGAGGCCAGTTCACTTCTCATACTATTCGACCACTATCATTTGTTCTGACCACTGAAAGGGTTATTGTAAAACTTTCTTGATTAATTTTTTTCTTACCCATTTCAGAGTCAGAATTTTCTTGAAAACGTGCACATGGTACTCTTTTACGCTTAGGAGGACTTTCACTTTCTTCCATATTTGATGTTTCCTCGGCAATCTTCAGGTACTTTTTTGCCTGCCCATAATCAGCTAATAAAAAATGCAATTATTATACACCTATGTCAGAGAAGACGCACACACAGAAATAAACAAATCACATAGACAAAATACACAAATATTGATGATGTATTCTATGGTATAGTGGCCAACACAGTTCAACTGTAAAAAGAAACGTGCATGGATACATACTTTTTATAACCCCACACAACGAAAGTTTGTCAAATGCCAGCTTTCCTTTTCTCCCTTTCATGCTGTATTGGGACCATAACTTGTTGCTGCCCAGTTTGGCCATAATCCTCCTTGTTGTGTCTCCAACATTTTGTCCACTTAAAGCTGACAAAACTTTGACCTATGGTAAGACAAAGGAAACATAACTAAATGCCATATTGACGACGATTTCAAAATGAAAGTACAGTAAGTTACTTTAAAATTTTATTTACCATTTTCGCTTTGAAAGAATCGTCCTCATTTAGCTTGTTGCAAACTGCTTGCAAATCGTCGGTGGAGTCCATTTGTTTTCTTATTACGTCCTCCAACAGCTCACCACCACCTGGCGATTTCGATGCACCCACCAATTTCCTCAGCAAGGACAGGGCTTCCTGCTGGTTTGCAAGCATCGCGTCGAGCTTGACAAGAACAGACCTTTGAAAATCTATACAAAATTGAAATCATTAAAGCAAGGCATGAGAAAGTCCGCAACTCGTAGGATGGCCAAATAATAAAAATACTCACTTTGGACAGCAGGGCTAGACGCTTGTCTTTCAGAAGCTCCAATTGTCTCCGCTAAACCACGACCAGATGATTTCGGTGTTGAATTCGGCGTTCGGTTTTGTAAGTTATCTGAAAGCACATTTGAAAACCAAATGTTTTGCGTTATTTTTAAAATACTTACAATATGATTAGTCTTTTTACAATATACATTATAGAACAGAGTACAACCAACACCGGCAGAAAACACATGCAAACACAGGACTCACCATCATTAGTTGCAAAAGAAGATGGCCGGGATGTCATGTACGAACTGGCAGTAAAACCTCTGCCAAAATCATCAGGCAACATAGATTGTAAATCTGGGAGATCTAGAACGCATAGCAAAATTGATAATATAATTAAATGAACATCCTTTAGCCTAAAATTCGAAACATTGTTGATTTGAATGCATAAGCCCTGATTCCACGTGCGCTTTTACTAGGCGAAAGTCTGACGGATCGAGTTGTGTGGGCAAAATATGAATGGTTGCTCATGAGTAATCGTATCCTCATTGCACATGCGGCAATTCATTTCGCGAGAAATCTTCGCATTTTGCTGAGAAAAGGCGCTCGTTGAATCAGACCTTTACAATGTTACTCCTGAATATCTGTTGCAGGAATTTAATAGTGATCAACAACTTCTCGCGACGTCAAAATATGCATATAATTGACTGTAGATGCATAATGATATTGTTTAAACTGAAATCTTATACGGCATATTCTATACTAAGGGTGCCAAGCTGTTGTGATCATGCAGTTTCAAAGAATCATAATGTAAAAAGTCAGTTGTAATTTATTTATTTATGTTAAACTGTACAAGCTACAATATTACCTTTGATCCACCATGTTCTCAACAATCGATAGCTCCAGTGAATCTGTCGGGAATAAATTTGACAGCATCCTGGCATTGCTGCAGGAATTTGAAGTTGCACCAGGAAGTGTACTTGACATTGTGCGAGGTCCTGTGAGATAACATTGAGTTTTAAAAGATCTTGTATGTAACAGTCTGCATTTATTACAAAAATTTTTAATTCAAAGTATTCTTTGTAGCGATTACGACACACCTCGTACGCTAGTTAATTTCAACAAACTATGGTTAGTATCCTTGTAGTTTTTCAAAGAAATTCAATTTTGAAGATAATTACCCCATGTGGCCTGACTTTCTACTTAAATTATCTACTTCAATTAACTTTCCACTTAAATCAACTTTCTATTTGAATTAATAAACTTTAATTATACTAAACACAGGACAAATTTATTTTGAAATGTCAATTAAGGTACACCAGTCGACCAATGACACACCAACAATAATAGTTGGATACCCATGTTATTTTCAATAATCAACAAAACTTAAGCAAAAAATATATATATTATACATACTAATTGGACTTGAAGGCACAGTTAGCCTTGAGCAGGTAATACCACTTTCTCTTGAACGATGATTACTTACTAAAAAAATATATTATTCAAATACCAGAAATTTCTGTGTATGAATGTTTAAAGAATATGAAAAGTAAGAGCAAAATTACCTGTACTACAATGATTGCACTTAATGAACCATGCAAGGCTCCATAACTCATTTTAGGTGCAGTGGTAACCAATTGTGCAGTAATAAATTAAATTTATATAAATCTAATTTATTTATATATATTAGGTTATTTATTTATATAATAGTAGATAGTAGGCAATTTGCACAGTGATAACTTGTTCATCAACAGTATATATATAATATATATGTAAATCATGAACGAATGGGATGAAATCAGACATTCTTGTATTACAGCAAGTTGAAAAACTAACTGCAAACAACAACAATTGGTAACTAAAAGTTACACTGACAAAACTGAATAAAAACTCCTTGACCTTGACAAACAAAGAAAACTGTAATTTAAAGATGATTTTCACTCCATTCTGCTCATAACAAAGGGGACCCCAAGATATAAATATTCCGAATTGAAACGTAGAGTTTGTATTCATTTACAAGCATAGCGAACCAGAAAATTATGTCTAATGGGCATATAGAGGTGCTGGAGTTTATACAGCATGCCCAAACCAGCCGGTATATTTATAAATATACACAAAAATATATACTTACTGGTAGTGTCATTTTTGTTTTGTTCTGGAGCCACTTTGGAATTTGACAAAAATTCTGGTGGCTTTGGAAGAGACAGACTTTGCTGAGACTCACGATGTTCATTCTTCTTCTTCGTGGGGTTTAAAGAACAGTCACTTTCCTCGCCATCTAAAAGACATAAAATATCACGTCATATTATTAAGTAAAAATATGGGATTCAAGATTCTAATCTTCAGATTATGTTTTGTACTATATTACTGTATGCATTCATAATGGGCAACATGTTGAAAGCTATTTTCTGCTCATACTATTCGACCACTATCATTTGTTCTGACCACTGAAAGGGTTATTGTAAAACTTTCTTGATTAAATTTTTTCTTACCCATTTCAGAGTCAGAATTTTCTTGAAAACGTGCACATGGTACTCTTTTACGCTTAGGAGGACTTTCACTTTCTTCCATATTTGATGTTTCCTCGGCAATCTTCAGGTACTTTTTTGCCTGCCCATAATCAGCTAATAAAAAATGCAATTATTATACACCTATGTCAGAGAAGACGCACACACAGAAATAAACAAATCACATAGAAAAAATACACAAATATTGATGATATATACTACACTGTACACACAGACTAAAGAAATAACCTTCATTTTGATCTAAAGTATATATATTTTAGTTTAAACACAGTAATACAGAATTGATTTCTGATGAAAAAATCCAATTTTGAGCAAAATTGTTCATCCGGCTCGTATTTCATCGTTTTTTCTCCACATAGTACAAAAACATTTTTCAATAAATGATGTTTATACACTAACTAATTCATACACAAAAGCATGCTAAACCAGAATATATATTTCGTTGATACACACTGTATGTGACACAAAATAAGATCAATTAAAATTATACGCACATGTGTACATAAACACTCTCACTTTGTATCTCCTCCATTTCTCCTTATCGGGAAGGTCATCCTGTATGACCTTGTTTTTTGCATTTTTGCTTGGCCAATAGCAATACAAATCCTGCATGTATAGAAAAAAACTACTAATAATTGTTACTGATCAAAATAGGTACTTACAGTGCTAAATAAAAAATGTTGGACATTATTGGATTTATGATGTGGGTCCAACTAATTTAGTGAAATATTGATCCTACTTACCCTATCACAATTCTCAATCCAGCTTTCCCGTACAATCGCTACAGTCTGATCTTTTAAAAATTCTACCACAGCAAACTTATTCATCTACAATATACACAAACCACTGTTAATTACTAAACTAAATGAGATTTGTAATCATTATCCGGGTGCAATAGTTCAAGATTTTCAGTCGTACTTGCGCTATTACAAACTCAGTACTCAATGTGTACTTAGTCTTTAAAATAAGGTTAATAAAGTACAGGTTTCTGAAAAGTATGTTCAGATTACGAGGTATAGAAAAAGAAGCACAATTGCATATACAAACAATCGACTCCAACGTTTCCTAGTGCCACCAGTCCATGGAACTATGTAAAATACCCGCACTGAGTCATTGGGAACCCAATTATGACATTTATAAGTAAAAGTGCTCAATGTGGGATATATAATTGACATTATATCTCATTTGTGTCGGTTTTCTTTCATCGTCCGAGGTTTATAACTAGCTAATATACCTTGAATAAATAATTACATCAAACTTTTCAACAAAACGCAATAATTTTTCATCAAAAATTTTTGAAAATGACAAAATATGTTAGAAAACCTACACAAATGTGATATAGGTTAGTTACAAACCTCGAAAGTCGGTTTATAACTGATATATTGCCCTCGGACGCTGCGCGTCCTCGGGGGCAATATATCAGTTATAAACCTCCTTCTCAGTTTATAACTCTAACATATTTAACAAGCTTGACCAATATGATTGCTATAATGCAGAGTTAATTAGCCCTGAAATGATGTCTTGTTGTACTCAGCAGTGTATAGGGGATAGCTTTGGTGTCCAACAAAAGTCAATGGTTGAGCACTCCTAAAATATCATATTGTGAATTTTTAACATGGGAATTGATTATTAATCAGTTTGTGTTCACAATGTTGAAGACAACACAACAATAATTGAAGCACTTGGTTGTGCAAATTTAACAATAGATCCTCAAATAGAGCACCCTTACTTTTTATAAGACTGTGTGCAGAATTGCCATAAATATTGTTGTATCTTCTCCACCAATTTCAAACATTATTGCTTTTTGTGCAAAAGAGACTGATGGTAGCAATTTGACTCGTGAACTGCGACTGTTTGCTCGATAAATTCCAACGATTCGGGAATCACAAGGTGTGTTGAACAAGGGACATAAATGTTCGTAAACTCTACACTGATAGAGGGTGTTTCCATTCTCATCACAATGGCTTGCTTTCTGTAAAACTTCGCAGGAGAAACCGTTTTCGAGTATGAAGGCATTATCTGGCTTCTTGCACAATGCTGTTCGAACACTTTCTCGGGAATTTTAATTGTGCGCAACTCACTTAGACGTTTTGTCAATTGGGCAATAGGATTCTTTCCCGAACGAACCACCCTTTTCAATTTTTGCATGTAATTCTCGAATGGAAAACTGCTGCAGCTATCTAAACCACCAAACTCTTTTGCCTGACTTGCAAGGTGAAGCATGGAATGAACATTGTACACTAAAAATTCCCTGCCATACAAATCTCTTCCCTTTTCAACAAAATAAACCAACAAGTCACTGGCATACTTCCAGTGGGTTTGGACAAGTGTGGGACTAACTAGAATCCTGCTTGCAATGCTAAGGCTCATGAAGTGGGCATATAGATCTGTCTTGAGGATACCATCTAACACTATTTTACCAGTGTACAGAAGGAATTGCCTAAATTCAGTGGCCTTCCAACGATCTATATCACTTAAACTACGTGGCTTTCGGGCAAAACTACTGGGCATAGCAGACTTAAGGCCAATTAACTTTTGACTTATTTCTTCCACTTGACGTGCAGAAATTTTCACATCTCTATTCCCCCTCATCCATATCAGTAGTAATTTCTTCATAACTCCAAGACACAGCTGATGCATATAGTCAACTGGGAATTTATCAACCATATCTATGGGCATCTGGCAAAAAGGTGAATCAGTACGATGGTGATCATCATTTGACTGGTCGCGAAAAGAAGTATCTGTTCTCAGTTCAAGGTTTCTGGTATCTGGATAAATAATCCTACCAAACCATTCACCTCTCTGGCAGCATTTATCGCATCCAAAATACCCAGAATACAGTTTAGTTCCTTTTACTAGTGCCTTAGCAGGAGCATCACATACAATGCATCTGATAGAGATAGGTATGACCCTTTCACCAATATCTAGACCATCATTTAAAAGAACATTTAAATCGTCTATTGTGTCTTGTAAGAATTCTAAATTAGTTGGTTTAGATCTACCATATGTCATGGCCACAGGGAAAACAGTAACAGGCTCAACATTCATGATCCCACACAAAATAGGCCAAAGAGTGTTGCTAGAGCTCTTGAACAGTGGCAGACCATCAATATTAAGTGAAAGCTCAAGAGTGGTTGCTTTTTCAGTTACTGCTTTTGGATACCTCAAGAATTGTTGCATCAGTTCCTCTTTAACAGGAAAATATACATAATCCATTCCAGATTTTTGGGTTGAGGGCACATATCGAGCAGTCTTAGTTAAAGTTCTAGTAGACCCAGGTAAACTTGGATGACCAGATTCCTTAAGTATTTTAAGAAGTCTATCAGCAGCATTATGTTTAATTTGATAGGCGTTCACCCACTCTGCCAGGTCAGCTCTTAACTTTTCGTCTAAATCATCAGAGTCCGATGATGAAGAGCAATAATTTTCCGGTGATGAATGTAACTGATCATTAGCACAACTTTCTGAAACGTTTAATCGCTTTGGTGATGGTTCTAGCAATTCAAAATGTTCAGTGTCAGACTGTTCTATGTCAAGACCCGCAATACTCTGGTCAGTGTCACTTGGTTCTATTTGGAACTATTATATCTAGGTTTGGAATAGGTGTACTACTGCATGCACCTTTGGACAATGTACGACGTGCAGCAATCCACCTTCTTTTATAACCAATCCTGTTGGCCTGCATACTGTAACCTATAAACACAGAAATTAATTCATTTTTCTGGTCCAAATCTTATCTGAGGTTCTGCCCTAACATAATAATAATGTTTTTATAGTGCTATTTCCAAAAGGTCTATGCAAGATTCAGATAAAAAGTGATTCATGAGTGATGTCTTGAAATGAGGTATAGAAATGGCATACATTCTTCCTATGTCCAATTAATTGTTACACAGGCAATGAAATGTAACTATAGAATCTACACTGAGGCCCACTTTGTTTCATTTGGTCCAACGCCAAATGTCAGGATAGGGTTGGGCGATATTAAAAAAATCATCTCACAATTATTGTCAAGGATATTATCACAATATCGGATATCGCAATAAATGCAATAAAAACAGTGGCCATGAAATGAAGGCCGCTTCTTGTCTAATATTTACGGGTCATAAATCTGAACTGTCTATCAGTGTCTACTGCAGAGCCTACACCATGGGCACACGGTGGAAACAAAGCCTGCAATTTCACTGTTCAGTGGATTAATACATAAATATTAAATCTTAGTTTTGTATCAGTATTAAATTCGTATTTAATTCAGGAAAGAGTTTTAATTCTTTTATTTTCTAGGAATTGAAAGAATTCTTTTAGGATTTTATAAAAGCTACATACACATGCAAAGCAATATCACCATAGTCATCAAGCATGACATTAATTTCGATATATCGTCGCTCAAGTTTCTACCTTCGATATGATAATCGTGATTGAAAATATCATGATAAATTAAAATGTCGCCCAACCCTATGCCAGGATAGTGCTGTGCAAACTCCGCTTTTTCATCTCCGGCTCAGGTCGAATTACAGCTCTGAGCATGTGATTTATAACTAAATGCACCATTAAAACAGTGTTTTGAAAACCTAGTTTTTTACAAAATGTGTTCTCAGAATGCTGCAAATGCCATTCCCGGGATCCAAATTTAAAAATTTTTCCTAGCCTTCGGCATGAGCCCCCCGTTTTTTTACGTAAGTGTCCGCCACTGCTTTGAAGTCAAACGGTATTTTTTAGTGACAATTTTCCCTGTAGTGTGTTATTGACAAAAGCTCAGTGCCATGGAGTTAGATTAGCTTAGACCCCACCATAAAGGTTCTTATTGGGATCCCATCCAAGTCTCATGTAATGGGGTCTGAGTAGTTTGTAGACACTTGAAGAGTCATGGTCAACCACATTGTGTATATGTTTGTTTACTTGCAACTGAGGTTAATACGCATTTAGAAATATTTGGTGAAACTAAAATCATTTCACTTCCCAGGAAATCAATCCATTTGTCGTATATGTGTGGTTGATAATTTTCCAATTTTAGCCTAACAGAACCCATAACTGAGGTGGGGACCTATTCATGAACACAACCTAAATTACATCACTTCTAACCTAAAGAGTACATTTTTTAGCATTCAACATTAATGTATAAGATTTTAAGAGATGTATCCATTAGAAATAAATGTGAGCATGGAATGCACTGTGATTGATGCATTGTAAGTTTTAATATTTATAAATGGAAATTGACCTGTTTCAGCATAGAATTCCAATAATTTACTTTAGGGTAGGTGGTACTTCTAAAGCCTGGGTTCTATCTAATTGTTAACTGTCGCCGGTAGAACAGGTGCATTTTATATTTTTACTGCACTCCACTATCTGGAAGTTCAAACTGGGGAATATGTAATAATAAAATTCGACCAACCAAGGTCAAAACAGTCATACATGTATAATATTGTAAATAATAGTAAAATCGTCTGGCATTAGACAAGTAAAAGAAAATAAGTAGGGTGCACTGGAGCGCATTGCGGCTCAATGGGTTAATGTAATTGGAAGCACTGTAACTAAACCCGACAAATGGTCAAACACTGTGGAAAAAAAATGAAATCTATATGTACAATAAGATTTGCGATTGCACCACTAAATCCATAGTTTATCCATTCTATTTCGATAATATATCCATAGTATGGAAATATACTATTATTATCAGGGACGCCGGAACGATGATAAGGCAAAGGGGGGCGGACGCACACCAAGGGCACCTATATAGAGCAAAACTTCAAAATCTCCCGAAAAAATTTGTTTTCAATTTTCGAGCGACCTCCCCCCTGGCATACCAAAAGTCAAATATAAACTATAAATTGCCTGCATCTCATGATTTTCCTACAAAAAGCATCGTTGGAAATGTGATTTTTCACGTATAATTTTACAACTAAAAGGGCACTTCTGGCCTCCCTGCCCCCCTAGCAAAAAGCAGGGGGGGCAGCCGCCTCCCCCTCTGCCCCCCCCCCAGTTCCGGCGTCCATGATTATTATTCCAATCAAGGTCCATACTATTTCCATTCTATGGATTTTCAACATTTTTCCCAGTGAAATTGCCACACACTGAGTAAAAGACTCAAAGTGCCAGCACAATAACAATTTAATATTAGTGAATACTCACAATAGGCAACAACAGTCTATTAATTAATGTATACTAGGTAAATCAAAAGCAATAGTAATATAAATTGGGACTTGGGAGTGATGATACTGCCTTTGATTGTTAACCGCCAATTACACTTTATATATATATTTAAAAATGTTGGAAGCGAAACCAGGATTCATAATTAATTGTGATTATATCGATTAAAGATAGCTGTTTCTTCCAGCTAATATAAATATTTGAAACGAAACCAGGATTCATAATTAATTGTGATAATATCGATTAAAGATAGCTGTTTCTTCCAGCTAATATAAATATTTGAAGAACAATCAAAGGCAATATCGTTACTCCCAAAAACATACCAATTATAAACATAGTTTGCCGAATTTCAGTGCTAGCTATACCAAACCGTTCGCTGGCTAGTCGACTGTTTTTTTGTCAATTTGTTGTAATCCTAAATGTTCATAACGTCTAAAAAATATCGGAAATATAATGTATAAATAAACTGTAACAAACCTTGTGTAGTGTAATTTCTTAAAAGCAATAGATTCAAACAGATTCGTAGAGATTCGATTTCGTATTTTCTCAGTGTTGATATAAAGTGTAAACACGCTTTGCGACTGTGTTGCATCATCACGTGCTCGCGCACTGATGCGTAGCATGAATGACGTCATGCACCAGGGACTTGGGGCCGAATGGCCAGCATGATAAATCAAAGGCCGTTGAGGCCGTTTCACGAATAAGATCAAATAAAAGTGACAGAAAGAATCATAGCAGTTTGCAGTTGTTTTTGAAAACCGGGCACCAGTGAATTTTGCCATTTTACCCATTTGTAGTGCTTCGTTTGCCAAATCCTGGCCAAATCGCGTGATGAAGTCCGATTTTCCGGTTCTCAAAGGCCCGATTCGCAGGCAAAAAGTGCGCGCAAAGCAGACTGGTCATAACATCGCATGCCAAACATCTGCTTTTACGTTGTATAAACGTAAAATAAAAACGTTTAGACAACGTTTATATTCTTACGTTGTATCAACGTCTTGTGGCGACGTACGCTGAACCTCAACCAGAGATTCATGGCAAACACTGCCTGAGTTAACATTTATGTCATTAACTTAATTAACATAATTCTGTGACACAAGTTAAAATTTTCTACTGGAAAAAAAATAGTTACACGAATGCCGTGAAGTGTTTCGTATTTTACTGACAAACGTTATATTCACGTTGTATAAACGTTGCAGATCAACGTTGAGAAGTAATCATATTACAACCTTTATGCAACGTTTGATAACAGCGCATGAAATATGATCTTTAAAAAAACGGACAAATAACGTTGTGTAAACGTTGCTTTTTGGTTAGGTCCGACCTAACCAAAATACAACCTTAATACAACGTTTTAATAACGTTGTGTGCTAGCTGGGAAGCAATCTGAAGTAACTTTAGTTAATTAACTTTAACTTGCAAAGAGAAACATTTTTGTAGAATAATTAATATTAGTATAATTACATAGGTGATTATTGGTTGCCATTGAGGTGATTATTACGCGATAATCACCTAAGCGATTTTCAAAATGGCGGCCGAAGCCTTTTTGTCAATTAAATGATGATGAAATGTGTATTTTCTTATTTTTTCCCAAATAATCACCTATGAAATTATACTAAAACAATTATTCACCTCAGGCTCGGTGATTATCGTGAAAAACCTCGACTTCGTCTCGATTTTTATTTACCGATAATCACCTCGCCTTCGGCGAATGATTGTTAAATAATTGGTATACAGTTGATTATTGAAAATCGTGGCCACTGATTGGTCACGTTACCTCGGATTATTACATGATAAATATCGTTTGTCAGTGTAACAGAACAAGAAATAATCGGTCTTAAAGAAAATTAAAATGCATTTCTAAAAACTACAAAAGTACTGTACAACTATTTCAAATTTGAAAACTATTTCAAATTATAGTATCTTCATTGTAGAATTGAAGTAAACTTTGTTTTGTCTGAAAAGCTATTTCAACAGTGCAAAAAATGCAAAACGTCATCATTGTTTCAATTTTCATGCTAAATATTTTTCATGTATCTTTTTTGCATTTCCCAAATAATCACCTGTGTATTCATACTAAAAATATTATTTGCCTTAGGCTCGACTTTGTCTCGGTTCTTATTCATTGATATTCACCTCGCCTTTGGCAAATAATTGTTAAATATGATACTTACTTTACCCAAAGAATTATAGGGCATGATTATGTAACTAGTGTAAATGCTATTGACAAAAAGAGTAAGGCAAAATCTGCTGAATAATAACCAGTACAAATTTGCATTTTTATGCATTTTTGCAGGTACATTGTGGATTTTTCTAAGTTAAAATTACTAAAGTATACTGCAGCTCTGGATACATGTTTTATAAATTTTCAGTTCAAATTCCTGACCAACAAGTAAGGAATGCTTATCTGACACAGGTGCATAAAAACATTGATACTGGTTAATATTTGACTGTACCAAAGAAATATACTTCCAGGCTTGTAGAAATAAACTAAAAATATTTACAAATATATTGCTAATTACTGTATGTTCAGTTTGTAATTAATAACAATAATTGCTTCAACATTGTAAACTATCCATTGTTTATAATATTATGTATCCAGTTTATAATACAGTATAAATAACAATACACTGCAAATGTTTTGTGCAAAAGATCATGATTGTTGAATTAAGCAAAGCTTTTGATAAGTCCAGATCATTGTCATATTATAATATATGCACTGATAATGATCCTATAAAGAACATTACTACGAGGCCTGCACGCAGGCGACGATCTGAACCTAAACTCGGGCCAGTCACGTGACTGAGCACATTGTTTTTGAGAACGAACGTTTTTCGATGTGTTTGTAAGTTTGTATATTTGTAAGTGTGTTTGTCGAAGAAATATATGGATTATGTAAACAAAGTTTCGGCTATAATTCATTACATGGCGCCCAACGTGGGGCAGCTTTGATTACCTGGTATCAAGCTAAGGCCCAAGCGAAAATTCGAACGATATTATGGCTGAAACGAAGGATAAACTCGATAGATTGAGGGCGAAACGAGGCGGTTATCGTGGCGTTTGTACGAAGTTAACTAAGGAAACCGAGGAAATAATTCATGCGGATGAAATTGATTACGATAGATGCGAGGTTATTCGCTCTTTACTGGAAGAAAAATCGAAAATATTAACGGATATAGACGAGGAAATATTGGGAATATGCAAAATTGCGAGTATTGAATACGAGATCGAGGAATCAGCAGACGTTATGGGACGAATACTCAGTGCAAAACGTAAACTTGATAAGGTGAAAGTCGAAGCGAAGAAAACGGGAAATACGAAGGCCTCAACGGTGACAATTCAACACGAAAATGGAAATAATATTGCGATGACAAGCAGCGAAAATTCGAGCGAAGTTACGATCCACGCGAGCGATGTTACGAATCACGAGAGCGGTAGTGAATCGGGTGGAATTATTAATGCGAGCAATGGTCCACCGGAAGTTGTTAGCATGGGGGAACATGGGGCAACAGAATTGAATCAAAGTTCGGTATCTTCTTTAAAACCCAAGTTGCCAAAACTCACATTGCCCAAATTTAAGGGTCAAGTCACCAAATGGGGTCCTTTTTGGGACTCATATAATTCGGCTATACACAATAACAGTGTAATTTCGAAGATCGACAAATTCAATTATCTCAATTCCTTACTTGAAGGTGCGGCCCTACGTGCAATCCAAGGTTTAACATTGACTACAGCAAACTATGACGCAGCAATCGAAATTCTAAAGGACCGTTTTGGGAGACCCCAACAAATAATCACAGCCCATATGGATGAGATCCTGAAATTACCAGCATGCACCAGTGAACGATTGGCTTCACTACGCTTTGTATATGACAGCCTTAGTGTTCATTTACGGGATCTACAGTCCCTTGGCATATCGTCAGATCAGTATGGCAGTCTTTTGATACCCAT